ACGAGAAATCTCATGACAGCTGCGGAATGAGTAGCTGTGACAAGGTTTCAAGCTCTACGAAGCCTGACACAGAGTCACGCGTGCGCCAGGTCGATGTCGTTAGAGTTCCTAAGCCACCAAGCCAAGGAAAGTCAAGGTCGACTCCGAAACAGCTGATGCAAACTACTATCAGTCTCAAAGCCGACCGTCTTGCTGTTCACAAGTACCCCACTGAACTTGCCGTGACTTTGGATCAGTTCCTGGTTTGGGCCAGAAACACCTCAAATCTGAAGCGCGTGATGGAGATGCTGTCGAAGTATCCTGTTCAGCTGGAGGATGCCTATCTAAGAGCTCGGAAGATTGATTGTCATTGGGAAATTGTACGACCTGCGGACTACATGCACACATTTGTAATTCCACAAGACCTTGCCCTATCAATGCAGGCAGCAACGACTACTACCCGGAAGGAGAAGCAGCCAATTGTACTGGATTAAAAGGCCAAGAAGCAAGGACTTGTTCTCGACGTCGTCTTGGCGATTGATCCAAAACTGTGGAAATTTAGCGGGTATGGTTGCTTTAGCGATATGGTTGCTTTAATATGGTTGCTTTAACATGCTTATGTTTCTAGACAATATGTATGTGCTCTAACAGGATTCTACGCGATCAAGGCGAAGTGTACCTCATGGTTGAAGGACCGAAAGTGGCTGGAGCAAGATTGGCGTAAAGTTGACTCCATCGTGGATCTTTTCGCTGCGGAGACAGCAACTGCAGGACTACCGCGTGATGCTGTTCCCGAGCGGCACCAAGGTCTAGCGAACGAAATTATCTCAAAGTTTACTTCAAGTCGGCTACGCACTGAATTTGTGACGCTCTCCAACAAAGTCCTGATCAGCTTTGACAACATCGTGGGAGGGATCTGTCGTGGATGGCTAAATGATAGCCCTGTGGACTTTTGCTTGGAGACCCTTACGAGATCGGTGGGGAAGTGCCATGTGCTGTCATCACTGACATGGGCTATCGGATGGCCAAGTCTCCCTAAGACAGCACTTGCAGCAACGAATTTTATTATCCACTCCGTTAATCTGCACGCAGACCACTGGGGGGTAATTATCCTTCGCCTACGCTACACAGCAAAAACAAGCAAGCTTCGGGTGCATGTTTACATGTACGAGCCGCTCATTGATGATGACTATCACCATGAAATGGAAATCGTGTGGACTGGAATCCCGAAAGACAAAGAAAATGAAGGAAAGGAGGGGCTTCGTGGTTATGTGGAGCGGTGGCACAAGGCTTCTGACCCCCGTGGCCATCTTTTCTTCGATCCGATTGAGTGGATCTGTGCCCCTCAACAACCTGATTTTGCTAGCTGTGGTGTAATGGTAGTAGTCCAAGCCCACAGCTATCTTAGGGGGAACTTGCAGATGCAACTTTCTAGAATTTCCAAGAACGACGTCAAGGTGATGCGATTGAAAATGCTGTGGGTCATCATGTGTTACTCCCAAGAACATCATCTCTCTGAACGCGACGTCGCTAAAGCTAGCCAGATTCATCATCAGCTACAGAACCAGCTCTGAGAAACACCACAGTCTGTATTTACCTTTAAATACAGAGTCTATGCTGCATTAGTCTTTCATTTCTCGCACCGCCAGCTCCAGTAGAACATCGAGGGAAGCAGCGTCGTCCTCTGCAGTGAGACCACCTTGGTCGGCCCCTTCATCGCCCAAGACGGCTGCTAACGCATAGCTGTACTCTTCGCGATCTTCGACGAGGGCTTGGATTTGTAGCTGCGCTGCCAGAAGCTTTTCCAGATGCTCGGTGAGCTCATCCAGCTTCTTCTTGAGGAGTGCAATCTCGGCGATTCTCGCGCGCACCAGCTCATGTGCCAGCGATTTCTTCTCCATTTTTGCTGTCGCTCAAAATCTGCTAAGTGTTGAAAATGTGGGACACATATTGTCATGTGTTTCACGTATTGCTGTGTAGAGAACATCAGTTAGACGCCACCACGACGTGTCTAAATTTAGAGATATATGTAGCAAGACCATGACGAGGGCGACGTGTCCCTGTCATTTACGCGTCATTTAAAATAAATTACCGGGTGCCAGCTGGTTTTAGGGTTGCTTTAGGCCTTGTGGTTGCTTTAATTTCTGTCGTGTTGTCGTCATATGGTTGTTGTAACGCCATTCGACCCGAGCACGCTACACCAGTACATGTACAGTACAACAACTTCAAAATGTTTCCCATCCTGATAAGTGACCATCTGCTGTCATGTAACTTTCTTTGACTGAGAACGAGCCCTCGATTTTCTGAGCAGAATTGTTATCATAAGTTTGCATGTATTGTGGGAACCGATTAGATTGTCTAATTGGAATATAAATCGGTTGGTTAAGCAGATGATTAAGCTTAATCGGGTCGGATTTAGTAAATCCGACCTCCTAATTAGATCGACAGCCTAAGCTTTGCACTCTGATTTGACAGAGCAGTCTGTTGTGCCTGCAACGCCATGTGGCAAGCTGATTTAGCTGCTCAGTGGCTTACAAAGCTCTGGACGACTGATTTGCATGCTAATCAGCCCGAATGTCCGACACCCACTCGGCATTCGGCGGCGGATTTAAGGTAAAACCGACAAACGCTAATGCTGACGAGAAATGACAGCGCAAATATATGGCTTCACAACTTGATAAATAGATAGCAGTGCTCACAGAGAAGTATTTAATGCGCGTGATGCTATTGCTCGTTAGTAGGAGCGCGAAACAGTCAGCTCGTGGTGGTAGGTGGTTGTTCCGCGTATGGCTGGCGGGTAATGAGGCAATCCCTATTTTACTAACGCTACACTGATTTATACCCTTACCAATGACATATGCAATTATAAGGATCCCCGATTTAGTACCAGTCAAATCTCTCATGAACGCTGCTTTATCAGCTAATCCGCTCGGACAATCTAATCGATTTCCACAATACACTACATGTACCTTTACACGATACACGAATCGGGGCCTCTCCATCCCATTTTTTGCCAAACACCCTGTCCAGTCCTAGACAAAAAATTGCGTTGAAAGCGACTTGGTTGTCATTAATTAACTTGCCACAAAGTCATGAGCCCAGGCAGACCATGAAGTCCGACACCTATTTAAGATAAAATACAAGGCTGTCCCACGTAAGAAAGTCAAATGATGTGTGTGTGTGCTTGTCAGGCGTTGCATGGCATGCACGAGTGACCATGTGGTTGGGCCAGATCGAGCTGTGGCGGCCTGCATTCGCTGCAACCATACATGTAAGTAGAGCTGTCAACGTTTTGCCTATACCCCCAACTCGCAAATACGTTTTACATAAACTGTCCAAAACCGCTAAACTCCCTGGCAACAGACTCCAAACTTGCGTCCTGTAGCAGCTGTTTGTATCAATACCTCTTAAATCAGAATAGTTTTTAGTATGTGTTTTGCCAAGTTTTTGCGTTTGCTATCTGGAGCGAATTATACATGCGCATACAGGAACGTACTGCTATGTAAGCATGTCTGCTCAACAACGTGGTGGACATGTTGTACCAACGCCGGCGTATTATCCGCCAGGTTTCTTTTTCTGGTGAGTATCGCTTGGTGTCACGAGCCTTATCTGGTTGAGAGGGCGAGCTTGGCCTGTTCACACGGGACGGGACACTGAGCACCTCGAAATGAGAATATATGAAATAAACTATGGAAAAGTTTTAGTGTGGGTTTTGTCGGTTTTGACTGGTTTTGGGACTTATGCACAAGGTTGAGGGTTGCGCGGATTGGAGGCAAAACGTTGACAGGCCTACCCCTAAGGCAACATGTGCAGCACGATTTGTCTTTGACCTCGTTGTCCTGAAAGCTTGAATTCATCGAACTTGCGGACAACGCGAAGCTTACAGTACTAAATTGAGTGGTACTTGTACCCTTGGTTTATCTGCAGTCATTCTTTGAACTCGAATCAAGCTGCCCAATTAGTCACGACAAGCGATCGAGACCCTGGAGCTTCATGAAAATTCTAGTAATACTCGTAAGAGTTGTGAGCTTGACAAGGCAATGAATGCTGTAGCAACTCAGGAGACTTACCCTTGTATATGTGTTTGTACAGTATCTGAGAAACGACCTCATTGGCAGATCGTTGGATTGAGCCAGCCAGCTCTCTTTTGCCCCCCCCCACACACACACACACACACAAAACCGCGCTATCGTCGTCCCCGTACTCTTTCTAACTTTACCTGGCATTTTAATACATGTAGAGCCGGGAAGGTAAGAGCGAGGTTGACAGAGAGAGTTGTGATTCGCAGCCTGTAAATGCCCAGCCGATTCTGTCGAAGCAGCTTGGGGGCTGGGCCACAAGGGCCCTCCTTGCGAACACTTCATAGACGCGGGTGATGGCTATGCTCTTCAAATCTGACTACAAAGAGCGACTACCGCATTTGGCGTGTGTGGATTTCCGTTGTCAATTGTTGTGCGCCGTCCAGCGTAACGCGGGCGTCGAAAGAGAGAAATTCCGTAGAGTGGTCGCTCTAGTGGAGGACTCTTGTTCCAACGTGCTCCATGCAAAGCGACACTCCTGTCAGATGACGAGGTGGTAGAGTGAATGAGCGAATTCGACCCCCAAAGTTGAGGCTCAAGTTTTCACCAGACACTTGGACATTTGTTACGGCAACTATCAACTATCAGCGCAGCTGTGGCTTTTGATGTTCGACTAGTACACGGTAGAGTGGTTGGCGCCTGAGCGTTTGCTTGTCGCCTCGGGTCTGCCGCGATCCCAGCAGGTTTGGCCACGCACATGTAACGCAACTCCCTGTATCAAGTCCTCAACGAATTGGTGCTCTGTCACGCGCTCACCGCTTGCCACCCACTCCCTCTATCGACCTGTTCGTCGCGCGACGTCAGGAGGCGTATTTCGTGCGAGACTCACGTTGCTCGAGTTTGTCCCTTCCGACTCACACACACACCACGGCACTCGTTGCTCATTATCGATTTCGTTTCGCGCAGCACAAGTCTCCAACCAACACCGCGCAACAGCCAGCAATGCAGATCTTCCGCCTCGTTATCGTTGCCGTTGCCGCGTTCGCCATGCAGGGCGCGCACGCCGGTTCTAGCACGACGGCGCTGCAGAACTCGGATGTCGCCCAGACGTCTACGAAACAGGGTGTCACCACCAAGAGCTCAATCTCCACGGGCTCTGCCCCGGGCCTCGCTGCCGGCACCACCGGCGGTGGCAACATCGCCCCCGTGTACCCCGCGTCGCTCAACGACCTGAGGAACTACCTCCAGGACTCGCAGCCGCGCGTCATCGTGCTCACCAAGACCTTCGACTTCCGCGGCTCGGAGGGCACGAAGACCGAGACGGGCTGCCGTCCCAAGAGCCACCGCGACTGCCTCGCCAAGAACAACGGCTACAAGGGCCAGGACGTCATCCTGCAGAGCGGCGGCTTCGCTAACACGGGCGGCTGCGTGCAGGGCACGTCCGTCAAGATCACGTACGACATCGCGGCCACCAAGAACCCGCTCATCGTCTCGGACAACAAGACCCTGCGCGGCCTCGGAACGAACGGAGTGATCAAGGGCAAGGGTCTGTGGCTCCGCGGCAACAACATCATCATCCAGAACATTCACATCACGCAGCTCAACGCGCACCTCATCTGGGGCGGCGACGCTATCTACATCCAGGGCCTCAACGGCGGCAAGACCCCCATGGAGCGCGTTTGGATCGACCACGTTAAGATCTCCAACCTCGGCCGCCAGATGATCGCCACGGGCTCGGCCAGTGTAAAGAGCATGACCATCAGCAACTCCGAGTTCGACGGCCGCACGCAGTACTCGGCCACGTGCGACGGCAACCACTACTGGACCTTCCTCTTCCTGGGCACGCAGACGCAGGTGACCCTCGTCAACAACTACGTGCACAACACGTCGGGCCGCTCGCCCAAGGTCGCCGAGAACTCGATCGTCCACGCTGTCAACAACTACTGGGTCAACAACACGGGCTTCTCATACGACGTGCTGCAGAACGGCAACGTGCTGCTGGAGGGCACCTACTTCGAGAACACGGCCATCCCTAACAAGCACGACGCCGAGACTGTGGGCGCCATCATCGCGCCGTCCTCGACCATGCAGTCGGCGTGCAAGAACGCGCTGGGCCGCAACTGCGTCGAGAACGTCGTGTCCAACTGCGGTACGCTGACGGGCTACCGCGAGTCGGCGGCTCTGGCCAACTCCAAGAAGGTGGCCAGCTACTACAAGCCCACGTCCGCCAAGAAGTTCGGCACCACCAGCCAGAACTTTGGTGTGGGCCAGATCTAGATCGTTTGAAAACGATAGTTTGTAAAGCTACCGATGAGAAGGTAGACAGGTGTCCACCTCACTGCTGCTCAAATGGCGGTGTGGGGTAGTATAGCGTGTAAGGCACCGATAGAGAGGGTGTCGACAGGCATCCAAGTTCATTGTTGCGTTTCAATATTAGACGTCGGTCGAGGCAGGCCTAAAGTACATCTCGAAGTTTGTTGTTTCAGAAATGAGTTCTTTCAAAGCTTGACAGATGCGAGAGAAATACACCGCTAAGTTGACAAAGTCAACTTAGCAACGTACAGCTGGACTTCGGGTCATCCCAGTGATAGCTCTTGTCGATGTGCTTTCAGCCTTAGATGAAAGATCTCGCGAGCGCAGCGAGCTACTGTTTCCTATTTGGTGCCCCCATTACCGAGGAAGGTTCATACAGTGTGCACCCCGTTGGCTATTTCGATTTGGTTGTTTGCATTGGAATAAAACGAAAACTTTTGACTCGTACCAAACAAACCTTTTGCATTTTTTTGACAGGGACAGCCGGTTGGCACGGCAGCCTTGCGGGAAGCAAGCTCCCCTGTTTCCACTACATTGGGGGTCAAACGAAGTTTCATTAATGGGAGCTTGTGCGATGACCATCAGCTCAGTCCGATAAGGGACGAGGAGAGCGGTGCCCCCAAATGGTCATGCAATCAGCCCCACTAATGCAACGTCGAATCGCCTCGCGGACCTGTTACCATGTTTGCCGCCAGAGTAGCAACCGACTCCTTGCAGAGTCTAGTGTAGGTCTTGAACGCATCGGAAACCCAACGGCCGTGAAACTGGATCGTGAGTGCATCCGTGCCAGCTCGGTACGTGTGGGTTGCTCCGCCCGCTCGTAGAGAATGGGAGCTGAAACAGCGTGGGTCTTCGCCAGTGCTGGTAGCCGCCCGCTTGATAGCTTCTGACACATCATCCGTCGCAATGCAGGCCGGTTTTCCGCAGCGGTCCAGGTACACTGCAGCCGGTATATCAGCGGGTAGGTGTTTCCGGACTTGGAGAAGGATCAAGGCACCAAACACGGGGCACAAGAATGGGTGTCCCGAGCGCGACAACATCCTCGTTGTAGGAGAGCCGCCCTGGTTAGTCTTGGAGCCGATCAGGCGCATACACACCGACTGTGCCTTCGATGGGGACAGGGTTGGCTGGCCTTCCGCATCCAGAACCGCGATGTCTTGAGCTCGAACAGCAAATCACTTGAACGAACCGCCAGTAATTGCCACGATTTCCGACCGCCGAAGGAGGAAAAAGAACGCCAGGCACATGACCCCCCAGAGGGCTTGCTCGAAGGGCTCAGGCATTGAAAGGTTGCGGAAGCACACCTCGAGGAGTCCGATTGACACTGGTGCTTTCCGGCGCGGAGGTGAATCGAGACGGCTGATGCCTTTGAGCAGCATACGAATGCGCGGGTGTGCGATCGGGATGTCATGATCAGATGCCGCGAAGAAGTGCCGAACACCGATGAGCACGGCCATGATCGAGTCGCTGCGAATGGGACCCCCGGACCCGAAGCCACACCGAAAGCCGTGGAGAATAAAATCCGAGATGTGCTGCACTTGAGCAGCGAGAGGCATGCCCAAAAGCGAGGGTGCAATGCCCTGGTGGGACGTCCAGGTCGTCCACTTGGTCAAGGCTCGGCGGTATTGCTCGAACGTGGAGTCGGCAACGGGGTGCGCTCGGAGATACGCTGCCAGATATCGATCAGACCTTGAATATCCACTGTCGGCGACACCTGCGACCATCCGGGAGTTAGTGACGAGAATTTGACCGCATACGATGGGTTAGCGGCAATGCGGGAGCCAGCGTCGGCGCGTTCGTTGTCAGAGCCGGCCACGTGCGACGCCGAAAACCGAAGCTGGAACGAAGTCTCCCACCAGCTAAGTAGCCGGATAATCACTTGAGCGCGTGAATTACAGGACGCGAGCTTGTTTTGTCATGCGACCGCAGAAGTGTTGTCGATGCGAAATTGAACGTGGCGTGGGCGATCGTTGCGCGAGGCACCGGAGCCCCATAGGCCTCCCCATGCGTGGACCGCGAAAGCGCACGAGAGCAGCTCCCGAATGTTGATATCGAAGCCGTTGGGCGTGCCATTCTTAAAAGCCGCAATCAAGGCACGCTCGCTGTCCGAGAACTGGTACGTGAGGGCCACTTGCGATGATACATCCAGCGCGCAGAGGCCATAATCGGACGCATCCATTTCGACTACAATATCGGGTACTGGGAGAGCATTGAAGTATTCCAGCGACACGCCGTTCAGGCGGGGAGTGTGGAGCACACACCACCACCATATCAGGTCTTGTTGCATGTCCGGCGTAATCGGAACACGCTGAAACCGCTGAAGATAACTTTCGCGTCGGCGCAGACGCTGGAGAAACGGCCGTGCAGCACGGATGCATGTTGCGACGTGCCGGAGGCTACCCATCAGCGACCGGTAGGCTTGCCTTGAAAGTGATGAAGCAGAGTACGCAGCCGCCACAATACAGCGTGCCTTGATTATCTTCTCCGTTGGCATCGAGACCGTTTCCGCCACCGTGTCGAACATGAGGCCCAGTACACGTTGGCGTGTGTTCCAGTCGGTGAACTTCTTAGTGTTGATAGCGTCAGCTCCCAGGACTGCTACCATAGCGTACCGTAGGGACCGATCAACGTCCTCGCAGGAGGTGCCAATGTCCGCAGCCGCATTGATGTGGTTGTCAACCCAGTGATAATTGAAGACACCACCCGGGTACTCGCCAGTCGTGTGTGAACCGTGCACGTAAGCGACAGAACCACCAGCAATCTCGTAGAAACCCGGTGATCCAGTCCAACCGAATGGCGCAGCGAGCTCGATCACGATGACATCGTCCTCCTCGATGTGGCCGCCGAAAAGATACACGCTGTTGCTGTGAATGCTGATGTTGCGGAAAGCAGACGCCACATCACCAGCCATCACACACACCCGGGTCCTTGGGTGAGCGCGCTTGGGCCTCAGGATTTCGGCCGCCACCGCGTCGCAGTGAGTGTACTCCGGCTTGGTGATGCTGTCCTGATCCGTGTAGTCGTTGATGGAAGTGCCTTCGGGGTATGACAGATCGTGGATCGTCCTACCCGACACGTTTGTGTCCTCATTGCCCTTGTCCACCCCCCCCCCCCCCCCGAAGGGGCTGATAATAACCTCGGGCCATTGCTTGAGGAGATCGCGGTCGAGTACGAGGCACCGCCCAGCATCCTGCTCCTTGCGAATGTTCTTGCGGAGCACATTAAGGCGATCTCGCGCCGACCGTGATTTGGTGGCCGCTGTACCTGCCGTGGAGGTGTCTTGCTTAGCCGAACTTCAACTCCGCCCTGCACGATTCTCTGGAGCTCTTCCAGATGTGCGTAACCCTTGCATACTTCGTTCAGCACGCCTGGGACCAGGCTCTTGTTAGGCCGGTAGTCATCAGCCGTCTGTCCGCGCACCAGCTCCACAAAGGCTGGCAGTATCATGCCCGACTGTCGTGCATATTCCGATAGCGCCTTTTGCAACGGGGTGTCCAGAAGGAACTCGGGTCCCGCCGCGCCTGGTCGCGACAGCGGATAATTGTCCGGCGGCAGCGCGATGCCATATTTTGCCATAGCTTGAGCCAGAGTAGCTCTCCGAGACATCCGCAGTAAATCGCTCCAGGCACGGGCGTTCAGGTGCATGCCTGCATCGGTCTTGACGCTGACGACGGGGCGCAGGTAGCTTGGCCGCGGCGCGATATCGTTGCGCAACTTGGCTTCTTCTAGAGGATGACCCGTACTTCCTTGGTCCGGGGTACACGATGCCGACCCCGGCGAGCCGATTATCCGCGAGGCCGGCTGAGTCGCAGCGCTTCTCAACTCACTCCCACGTGGTAATGGACACCTAACATCTTGTGATATAGTGAGAGGTGACGCTCCACGTATATGGTTTAATTGGTGTACCGGCTGTATGGCCGGCACTGGCTGTACGGCCGTGGGTGACTGTATGGTCGACCCGGACTGTATAGTCAAAGGTAGCTGTATAGCTGTAGGTGGCTGTATGGCCGACCCGGACCGTAAGGTCAAAGTGCCGCTGGTGCCCTTGTGGCTACCTGGTGAAGTCGGTGTTCCGGTGGTGGAAGAGGTCGGACGAAGGGCAAAACAGGTGCTCTCACGGAAAATTTTCCGCTCGCGCGCCGAAAGTCTCTCGAGAAGTTCGCGTTTGACGAGCCAGCTTCCAGCGACGACATCTCCGACGACTCCTTGAAATGCATCACAGTGAGCCCACGTGACCCCAGACGACTACTGAAGATCGCCATCAGCACCGCAGGAGTAGCTTGAAACTTTACCGCCTCTAGCTCCCGCATCCATAACACAAACGACATCGCAGACAGGGGCTTACCTGTCTCCGTGCCGAATGCGCGGAACATCCGGCTCGCCGCCAGAAGATGAGCTTGCGGTGGGTTGTAGTCGCCCTTCGCCTTCTTCGCACCTTCGGGGAAGCTTGATGTCGTCAGGTACCGCAACTCCGCCGGCGGCATCTCCCCCTTGTTGTTAGGAGCCGTGGGAGCCGAGGGGTCTGCATGCAGGCGTGACGTGACGGCGACAGGGAGCTGAGCAAGCCCTTGCCCGGCCACCAGCGCACACAGACGTTCCACCTCATCTTGCAGCTCTTGCAATTGCGCACGAACAGCAACGCCGTCCTGAGGGGCGATGTCGTCGGTCGCCACCGAGGCTTCGTTGGGGGTCGTCGCGACGGCGGTGCTCCCATCGACGGGCGCAACAGTCGCCTCGAGCGCAGTGCCGGGCGAGAAGGAGGCCATGAAGGAGCTCAGGTCGAAGCCGCTGTCGGATCTCGGCGTCGGCACCGCACATTTCGAGGTCGTCGCGGCCTTCGCTGGCTTCGTCTTCGCTGGAGTCGTAGTCTTACGCGGCTTCTTCGCAGGCGGCGCCGGCACCTTGTCCTCCGGGTCGGAGTCGGAGTCGTGGCCGCCGTCGGCCACCGCTTTCCGTGGTGCCTCGCCGCTGGTCCCTGCCGTCGGCCGCTTGACCAGCTTCTTTTTGCCCTTGCGAGCTTCCGTGAGGGCTTCACCGGAGACTACCTTCGACGTCGCCCGCTTGCTCGTGCGGAGCGGGGCGGGGTCGGACGTGCGCCTTGCAGGCGCCCTCGCCCATGGTTCGTCCGCGCCCGTGACGTCCACAACATCAGGAGGGGCTGAGTCCGCGGCAGCGACGGCAGTCGGGCGCTCGCTGTCCGACGGGACCGTCTCGGTCCTGGGTGATGGCGAGCTGGGGGCGCCGGCTTGGTCGGTGGTTCCACGGGTGATCATGACGTAGTCTTGAGAGGTTAATGACCCCCTTCTTGCTTGCTTGTTTGTTGGTCTTGATTCGAAGTGAGGGGAGAACGCCACGCGTCCATCGGTTGGACTGTGGGCGGTCAGGGTTACCGGTATAATACCGGTGTGTACCGGTATATCGAAAGTACTATTTTGAAGTGGAAAACACAATTCCCTGGTTCTACCATGGAATACAGCTCTTGGCGGTCCACATATCTGAATTTGCCACACTTTAGTAAATGTGGACTGCCCAGAACCACGCCACGACGAGCAGCGCTGTTCTCCTCACGGCCGCTACGCTCGGCTCGCTCTACGCAGGATGGAAGGTCGCGACCGCCCTGTACTCGCAGCGCGTACTTGATGCAGCGCTCACGAAGCAAAAGCTCCACTCCCCGGACTCGACGCTTCCGGTACTCGGCAACACGCTCGACCTGCTCTTCTTCCAGAGAGAGCGACTTTGGGACTGGGTCACGGAGCAGAGTGCAATCAGTGGAGGCAAACCCTGGGTGCTGCGAATCATCGACCGCCCCACGTCCCTCGTCGTCACGTCCCCCGAAACGCTTGAAGACATTTTCAAGACGCAGTTCGAGACTTTCGAGCGAGGCGCCGACATGCGCGAGCTCTTCTACGCGTTCGTGGGCGATGGGATCGTCGGAGCGGACGGCGAGCAGTGGGTCAAGCACCGACGCACTGCCAGCCTCATGTTCACTACTCGAACGCTGCGTGAAGTGGTGGATGCAGTCGCAAAGGAGAAGTCGCTCCAGTTACGGGACGTACTCTCAGAGTGCGCCAAGCAAGGGCGCGTAGTGAGCATGAAGTCGCTGCTGACCAAGTTTTCGGGTGACGCATTCACCAAGATCGGCTTCGGAGTGGACCTCAATAGTCTTGGAGGAAATGTAGAGTCCGCAATGGATCACCCTTTCATGGAGGCAGTGGAGGTTTATGCTGAGGTGCTTTGCACTCGGTTGCTGTCACCGACCTGGCTGTGGAAGCTCAAGCGCTTCCTCAACGTCGGAGACGAACGCGCGCTGAAACACGCCAACAAAATTGTGCACGATTTGACATACGAAGTGATGCGCGAGTCCATGGAGAAGAAAACCCATGGAGAAGGAATGGCGTTACAGCAACCATATGACGACAACACGACAGAAATTAAAGCAACCACAAGGCCTAAAGCAACCCTAAAACCAGCTGGCACCCGGTAATTTATTTTAAATGACGCGTAAATGACAGGGACACGTCGCCCTCGTCATGGTCTTGCTACATATATCTCTAAATTTAGACACGTCGTGGTGGCGTCTAACTGATGTTCTCTACACAGCAATACGTGAAACACATGACAATATGTGTCCCACATTTTCAACACTTAGCAGATTTTGAGCGACAGCAAAAATGGAGAAGAAATCGCTGGCACATGAGCTGGTGCGCGCGAGAATCGCCGAGATTGCACTCCTCAAGAAGAAGCTGGATGAGCTCACCGAGCATCTGGAAAAGCTTCTGGCAGCGCAGCTACAAATCCAAGCCCTCGTCGAAGATCGCGAAGAGTACAGCTATGCGTTAGCAGCCGTCTTGGGCGATGAAGGGGCCGACCAAGGTGGTCTCACTGCAGAGGACGACGCTGCTTCCCTCGATGTTCTACTGGAGCTGGCGGTGCGAGAAATGAAAGACTAATGCAGCATAGACTCTGTATTTAAAGGTAAATACAGACTGTGGTGTTTCTCAGAGCTGGTTCTGTAGCTGATGATGAATCTGGCTAGCTTTAGCGACGTCGCGTTCAGAGAGATGATGTTCTTGGGAGTAACACATGATGACCCACAGCATTTTCAATCGCATCACCTTGACGTCGTTCTTGGAAATTCTAGAAAGTTGCATCTGCAAGTTCCCCGTAAGATAGCTGTGGGCTTGGACTACTACCATTACACCACAGCTAGCAAAATCAGGTTGTTGAGGGGCACAGATCCACTCAATCGGATCGAAGAAAAGATGGCCACGGGGGTCAGAAGCCTTGTGCCACCGCTCCACATAACCACGAAGCCCCTCCTTTCCTTCATTTTCTTTGTCTTTCGGGATTCCAGTCCACACGATTTCCATTTCATGGTGATAGTCATCATCAATGAGCGGCTCGTACATGTAAACATGCACCCGAAGCTTGCTTGTTTTTGCTGTGTAGCGTAGGCGAAGGATAATTACCCCCCAGTGGTCTGCGTGCAGATTAACGGAGTGGATAATAAAATTCGTTGCTGCAAGTGCTGTCTTAGGGAGACTTGGCCATCCGATAGCCCATGTCAGTGATGACAGCACATGGCACTTCCCCACCGATCTCGTAAGGGTCTCCAAGCAAAAGTCCACAGGGCTATCATTTAGCCATCCACGACAGATCCCTCCCACGATGTTGTCAAAGCTGATCAGGACTTTGTTGGAGAGCGTCACAAATTCAGTGCGTAGCCGACTTGAAGTAAACTTTGAGATAATTTCGTTCGCTAGACCTTGGTGCCGCTCGGGAACAGCATCACGCGGTAGTCCTGCAGTTGCTGTCTCCGCAGCGAAAATATCCACGATGGAGTCAACTTTACGCCAATCTTGCTCCAGCCACTTTCGGTCCTTCAACCATGAGGTACACTTCGCCTTGATCGCGTAGAATCCTGTTAGAGCACATACATATTGTCTAGAAACATAAGCATGTTAAAGCAACCATATTAAAGCAACCATATCGCTAAAGCAACCATACCCGCTAAATTTCCACAGTTTTGGATCAATCGCCAAGACGACGTCGAGAACAAGTCCTTGCTTCTTGGCCTTTTAATCCAGTACAATTGGCTGCTTCTCCTTCCGGGTAGTAGTCGTTGCTGCCTGCATTGATAGGGCAAGGTCTTGTGGAATTACAAATGTGTGCATGTAGTCCGCAGGTCGTACAATTTCCCAATGACAATCAATCTTCCGAGCTCTTAGATAGGCATCCTCCAGCTGAACAGGATACTTCGACAGCATCTCCATCACGCGCTTCAGATTTGAGGTGTTTCTGGCCCAAACCAGGAACTGATCCAAAGTCACGGCAAGTTCAGTGGGGTACTTGTGAACAGCAAGACGGTCGGCTTTGAGACTGATAGTAGTTTGCATCAGCTGTTTCGGAGTCGACCTTGACTTTCCTTGGCTTGGTGGCTTAGGAACTCTAACGACATCGACCTGGCGCACGCGCGACTCTGTGTCAGGCTTCGTAGAGCTTGAAACCTTGTCACAGCTACTCATTCCGCAGCTGTCATGAGATTTCTCGTCGATGGGGGGTCGAATTGGAGATGACTGCGAAAGGTGAGTGCGTTGTGTCGGTAACATACTTTCGTCGGACTCGTAATCGCCATAATTCATGGTCATGGGGCTGCTTTCCAATGCGTCCATGAGCGTCATAGTCCCCATTGCCTCCACGGGGTCCAGAATGGAGTCTGAGACAGGTTCAGATACATCTTCTTCTTGCTTGCTATCTTCAGCAGATTCTGTAGAACTCGGTTGGGGGCAGGATTGACACGGTTGAGCCCTATGTCGATCGTTTCCTTCCAGGCACTTAGCTCTTGGTAGAAGTCTGCACTAGACAAATCTGACAGGTGTTCCAATAGCGGTTCCAGCATCGCTTTTGCGTATGCGTATTTTTCAGCTGAAGACAATACAACCTGGTTTGCCCGTTCACCTCGCCGTAGCCGTACGTACGCAACTTGCTTCCTAGCTTTGGTTGGCGAAGCGTTACCCCCCGCAGCATAAAGTGGTTGTTCTGGTTCAGCCCCAGTGTCGTTCGGCAACTTTACTTTCGGCAACCTTAACTTGGACATCTGCACAATTGGCTGTAACATTTTCGCTGCAGCCGTCAATTCGTTTTTCACTTCCAAGGTCTGGTACGTACTCCACCGATCATGAATTGCCATAGCTGGAAGCAGTTTGAAGCCATGCCCCTCGCTAAGTGCATAAGATGACGACATGGTAAATGGTGACTGCTATAAAATAGACAAGTACACGTCCACTCCACATCGTGACAGCGAAAGGTTTGATTCCCGCAATAAATTTTCCATTGTGAAGGACTCGACGCTGTACGCTCACAAGTCGCATCTGCCATGAAGTTCACAAATCGTTCCCACTCTTTTCTCACTTTCTCGAAGATGTCAGGGTACAGTCGAGTTGCTACCGTCCGGAGAAACATCGGTATGGTTTTAGGAACGGGCGAAGTCGAATGGTGCTGCGCGATGACGAACCCGATCTGCTGAGTTATCATGATTTGATGCTGCACCAAGCCCGCAATAGTCTTGTCAATTCGTGTCTTGTGCCCCAACAGTATGTTCACTTGATTCCAGTTTGACTCGATCCTGTTCGTTGTAGAATTCCCAGCCGTGAAAAATTTGCTGTGAGCAAAGTTCGCCTCTCGACACGAATCCCAGTTCTTTTCAAAGTACGAGAATAAAGCTTGTTTCTTGTTGTCTTCGCAGTATTGCTTCAATGCACCGTAACTAGAATCGTAACCTGTCTCTGTGGAGCTGCATATGGTTTGTTTTCCAATGTTAGCGTTACCACAAGAATCATAAATAGAATCTGTTGCGTACCTGTACAGCGATTTTATCATCAGGTTGAGTAACTCGTCGCGTTCAGACACCTTCAGCTTGTATGGGGCCCGCTGCATCACCTTCTTCCAGTACGAAATTGCATGGAATTGACAAAGTAAAACTTTCGCAGCAGGAAATAGTGTTTTCAGCACCCTCCACTCAACGAAATCTTTGTCGATCACGATGTAGGATATCATCCGCCAACTTGGGTTCTTCTCTTGGAAATACTCCAGGATTGTTGTCATCATCGGAGCTCGTTGGTTGAGGCATATGAAGTCTACAACTGGGAACCCTCTACCAGTAGCGGTTGTGACGACCAGACTCCAACACACAACAGTAGAAAATCACTTTGTTAATAAGGTTGCTATATCATCGATATGGTTGCTATAACTACGCAAGGTTGCCGTAACAAAGATAAAGTTGCTATACCGAACAACTCATACGCACCCAAGTGATAGCCCAAATTGTTCGTGCCGTGAGTGAAATCCATCGTAAGAGTGTCGCCCCAGCGCTCGAACATCAACTTCTGCACCTTTGTTTGCATCACGATACCGCATGTCACGTCCATTTGGTCTTGAATAACAAGGACGTCACTACCGTCTAACTGGCGGATAGCTTGCAGCATGTCTTTCAAACGGGCCTCCGCTGCGTCGTGCCCCATAATACTGCGGATCAGATTACGGGTCTGTTGAGGTGTTATTTTGCAGCCTAGCAAACACACAAAGCGCGAACAGTAACGTAAGTATCACTTCAGCATATCATATATAAAACTACGCACCGATTCTCTCATTCAGGAAGTTCGTGATGTGCTTGGAAGAAACACTAGCATCCGTTAAAGTCTTAACATCTTCGAGATCTTGCTCGTCCAACGGAAGTGTCTTTGTTGTCAGGTACAACGATGCTTGCGTTCGGGTGGTCGGGTGCGTGTGGGTAAAGTTCTGATTATCAACAGCGACATGTGAGAAATACTAACAAAGCAAACAAATACACGAAAAGGCAGATACCTCGTTTCTTATGACAATTCGAAATTTGCCATTTTCCATCCGCTGAACAGTTGGTGTCATGCGTGCAGGACACCCGCAATAGTTGCTTTTCTATTGCGATGTCCCTTGGAGCGCGACGCTTGCGAAACACCGTGTGTACAGCGGAGGACCTTGTGACTCCAATTAAAACGTGAAGGGATTTGGTCCCGATGATTGCTGCATATGAAAGGGGGTTTCGTTAATAACTTAAATTTCTCATCAAACAGAGGTCACACATACCTGTTGTACTGATTTCGTGTCTCCGAGCTTCGTACTCGAAACTTGAGGTGGTGCTTCTGCTTGTATATTTTCAAGTGTGCGTTGAACTTGCTCCAACTCTTGATATTCGCTGGGGTAAAGGGCGGAACGGGGTTGATAATTTCTTCGCGCTCCTCGTTGATCTCCCGCAACTCGTCAAGGTGCTTGCTTGATCGCTTCCGCGGTATGTACTGCTTGTTCCGCTTGGATAAACGTGGGGCCGAATCAGCGTCGACAGACTCGTGAAGCTGCAGCTCCGCCTTACGCTTTTCCGCGAAAGATTGGTCTTCATCCCCAGCAGAAAGCTTGCATTTGGCCAGGCGGTATCTATCGATTCCAAAGTGAATGTCAATATTAATGATAGCGCAACCTTTTTGCTTAAAACAACTTTAACGAGAATACCTGGTGTTTTCTTGCGTGCTGTGGCTTTCTTTCTCGGCTCGGGGCTCTGTTTGCGTGTCCTGCGTTCTAAACAAACTAAAACAATACACAATACATTATCAGTTCAACTCAATAAGTATCAACAATAATCCAAACGAGTCTTACCCGCTTCTGCTTCGTCTTCTGTGCTGGATTCTCCGTCGTCGTCTGCCTCCTGTTCATCGTCACTCGCCTCCTCTTCATCGTCGTCACCATCCTCTTCATCGCTATCGCTCTCCTCGTCATCATCGACCTCTTCTTCGTCTTCCTCCTCTTGGTAGCAATCCTCCGCCTCTTCGTCGCCGTTGTCTTCCTCATCCTCCTCATCCAGAACAAAGTCTTCGTCTTCGTCGTCGTCTTTTTCAATCCCGAGAGCGGCGTACATGTAGTTTAGCTCCTCGTTTACGTTCCGCAGCTTTCGGCCTAAACAATACATACCGACAGAATTCAAACAAAATGTGAGGCACGTAGATACTCTCGTTGCCACCAACATGGAGCATACTGATTACCGTTTATAATGGCTCCCCCCGCAGGAGCCATCGGTCCCCCCTCGCCGTTTGGTGCTTGACTCATTCGCGAGAGGTGCGTGCCCCACGTGGCCTCCGTTCAGCAGCGCGATTCTTAAAATGAGCGGCTGTGAGGTGGCGCACTTAATGGCATCGTACCTAATCAGAAGCGCACTTTAGCGTGATTTGCGTACCTAAGGGCTTAATGGTAATTTAGACATTTAAATTACGCTCGTAATTTTTGAAATCCCTAAAAGCAACCATACATGTCTCAGAATGGCTAAAAGCAACCATACTTATGGTTGCTCTAACCACTCCCATGGAGAAGGAAGAAAGGACCTGTTGAGCCTGTTCATGCAGTCAGGCGACACTGTGGACGTGCAGGTTGTTCGTGATTCGGTCATGAACTTCCTGCTGGCGGGTCATGACACAACCAGCTTCAGCTTGTCTTGGGTGGTTATTAACCTGAACCGCTACCCTGACGTGCTGGCCAAGCTACGCACCGAATTCAGAGAAAGGTTGCCTGGGCTGATGACCGGCGAGATCGACGTCACAACGTACGAGGACTTGCAGAACCTGCCTTACCTTGAGGCGGTCGTGAAGGAGAGCCTCCGGCTGTACGTGACGGCGGTAAACCGCGTGGCAAACCAGTCGACGACGCTCAGCGACGGCACGTTCGTGCCTCTTGGCTGTGGCATTATGGTAGCATTGTACGCCGCCGCTCGAATGAAGAACGTGTGGGGTGAAGACGCCGACGAGTACAAACCCGAGCGATGGATCGACCCCAAGACGGGGAAAGTCAAGAACGTATCTTCGTTCAAGTTCATCAGCTTCATCGCGGGGCCTCGTCAATGCATCGGCATGCGTTTTGCCCTGCTGCAAATGCGGGTCGCCATCGCTGGGATGTTCAGTCGCTTCGACTTGAAGACTGTGGAGGACCCGTTCAAGCTCACGTACGACATCGCATTCACGCTGCCGGTGAAAGGGCCTCTCAACGTTTCCGTGCATGAACTTGCGTGAGCGAGGCGTCCGTGGCAGACAAAGGAACTCCAATGGGCTGCTGTCGCGGGTATACCCGTAGGCGGGCCGCGCTCAGCGCGGCTTTGGGAACAGTTAGCCGGCTAAACCGCAATCAAATCAAATTAAAAGACAAAGGAACTCCATGTACTTAGGACAAACTCTAATCAGAAATGCGCTATCTCAACAGAAGGCTCGAATTGTTGTGTGCTAGACTTTGTCCTATCGGTTGCAGAGCAAATAGGATGTTCATGAGGCTCCTACGTAACGTGTTTACCTCTTCTGCGCTCTTAGGATAGCGATCTGATCCTTCGAATCTGGCAATCTAAATTCCTTTACAGAAGAACCATAGAGAGTTGAACTAGTAAATAAAAGCACGAGCACTGTTCAGGTCCCTGCGCTGAAAGGTCGGTCAAAAGGTCACCTCCTTGCCTCCCGTCATGTGGACCGCCCAGAACCACGCCACGACGAGCAGCGCTGTTCTCCTCACGGCCGCTACGCTCGGCTCGCTCTACGCAGGATGGAAGGTCGCGACCGCCCTGTACTCGCAGCGCGTACTTGATGCAGCGCTCACGAAGCAAAAGCTCCACTCCCCGGACTCGACGCTTCCGGTACTCGGCAACACGCTCGACCTGCTCTTCTTCCAGAGAGAGCGACTTTGGGACTGGGTCACGGAGCAGAGTGCAATCAGTGGAGGCAAACCCTGGGTGCTGCGAATCATCGACCGCCCCACGTCCCTCGTCGTCACGTCCCCCGAAACGCTTGAAGACATTTTCAAGACGCAGTTCGAGACTTTCGAGCGAGGCGCCGACATGCGCGAGCTCTTCTACGCGTTCGTGGGCGATGGGATCGTCGGAGCGGACGGCGAGCAGTGGGTCAAGCACCGACGCACTGCCAGCCTCATGTTCACCGCCCGAACGCTGCGTGAAGTCGTGGACGCAGTCGCCAATGAGAAGTCGCTCCAGCTGCGAGGCGTACTCTCAGAGTGCGCTAAACAGGGGCGTGTAGTGAACATGAAGTCGCTGCTGGCCAAGCTGTCGGGCGACGTGTTCACCAAGATCGGCTTCGGAGTGGACCTGAACAATCTTGCTGGCGACGTGGACTCGAAGATGGACCACCCGTTCATGAAGGCAGTGGAGGTATACACTGAGGTTCTTGGCGCTCGGCTGCTGTCCCCGACGTGGATGTGGAAGCTCAAGCGGCTGCTGAACGTCGGAGACGAACGCGAGCTGAAACACGCCAACAAAATTGTGCACGACTTCACGTACGAGGTGATGCGAAAGTCCATGGAGAAGAAGACCAGCGACAACGGCCATGGCAGGAAAGATCTGCTTAATTTGTTCATGGAGGCGAACGACAACACCGACGTGCAGATTGTCCGCGATTCCGTCATGAACTTCTTGCTAGCCGGGAGTGAGACGACTAGCTTCAGCTTGGCGTGGGTCATCGTCAACTTGAATCGGTACCCCGACGTGCTGGCCAAGCTCCGTGCGGAGTTCAGAGAAAAGTTGCCTGGGCTAATGACTGGTGAGATCGACGTCCCAACGTACGAGGACTTGCAGAACCTGCCTTACCTTGAGGCGGTCGTGAAGGAGAGCCTCCGGCTGTACGTGACGGCGGTAAACCGCGTGGCAAACCAGTCGACGACGCTCAGCGACGGCACGTTCGTGCCTCTTGGCTGTGGCATTATGGTAGCATTGTACGCCGCCGCTCGAATGAAGAACGTGTGGGGTGAAGACGCCGACGAGTACAAACCCGAGCGATGGATCGACCCCAAGACGGGGAAAGTCAAGAACGTATCTTCGTTCAAGTTCATCAGCTTCATCGCGGGGCCTCGTCAATGCATCGGCATGCGTTTTGCCCTGCTGCAAATGCGGGTCGCCATCGCTGTGATGTTCAGTCGCTTCGACTTGAAGACTGTGGAGGACCCGTTCAAGCTCACGTACGACATCGCATTCACGCTGCCGGTGAAAGGGCCTCTCAACGTTTCCGTGCATGAACTAGCGTGAGCACGCATAGCGTTGAGACTTTGAACAAGGACGATTTGTGTCGACCTTAATGATTGATCGATCGCTCACGCTGAGTTTGTCGTCTGTGTGCTTGATGATCAGCTCTGCAGCGTCTTCAGACGGGCCTCTTGGCTGCATAATTCCTGCATAGTGAAGCTGATCTTGCATCCGGGAAGATGGTTGCGGTGGTGTGTGTACAATGTACACATGTACACTGTACATGTATGCTATGCTTTGCTATGTGTAGCTAGCTCGTGCGCGGCGCCTGCCAACGCTGCCGCAGTCCCCATTTTGCATTTCGCAGCGAGTACTTCAAGCATCGTCCTAGACCTTTCAACTAGCAGACCATGTGGGGGTTGGCTAAGCACCAAGTGAGCGAGCGCGAAGCCGCGCTGGCCGTGAGCGCTCTCGGCGCGTTGTACGTCAGCTATAAGCTCCTCTCCGCCATGTACAAGTCCGGCAGCATGGCCCGTGCGTTCGACGCCCAGGGACTGTACCGCCCCAAGTCGACGCTGCCGATTCTGGGCAACACACTCGACGTCATGTTCTACCAGAAGGAGCGGTTGTGGGACTGGATGGCGGAGCAGAGCATTCTCAGGAGGGCAAGCCCTGGGTGCTCAGCATTGTCGGTCGCCCCGACGCGCTTGTGGTCACGTCCCCCGAGGCCTGCGAGGATGTTTTCAAGACGCAGTTCGATAACTTCGGGCGCGGCACGGAGCTGCGAGACGTTATCTACGACATCTTTGGCGACGGCATCGCCGGCGTGGACGGCGAGGAGTGGCAGAAGCAGCGCCGCGTCGCCAGCCATCTCTTCTCGATGAAAATGCTGCGCGACGTGATGGACGAAGTGATCATCGAGAAGGTGACCAAGCTCAAGGACGTCCTCGCCGAGTGCGCCAAGCAGGGCAAGGTCGTCCCGATGAAGTCGCTCTTCGGCAAGTTCACAAGCGAGGTGTTCACCAAGATTGGCTTTGGCGTCGACCTCCGCAGCCTGGAGAGCGACCCGTGCTCGGACTCGAACAACGCCTTCATCCGGGCCGTCGACGTGTACGCGGAGGTCTTCGGGGCGCGCGTTCAGTCCCCGGCGTGGTTCTGGAAGCTCAAGCGCTTCCTGAGCATCGACGACGAGGGTCGACTCAAACAAAGCGCTAAGGTGGCACCCAGCAGGTGCTGGCCAAGTCGTTGGAGGTTCGGCGCCAGGACAGCAGCGACGCTAAGCGGACGGATCTGCTGACGCTGTTCGTCGAAGCGAACACGAGCATCGACCCGAAAGCGGTTCACGACACGCTCATGTCCTTCCTGTTGGCCAGCAAGGACACGTCGAGCTTCAGCCTGTCGTGGGTCCTGATCAATCTCAACCGCTACCCGGCGGTGCTGGCCAAGCTCCGCGACGAGATCCGGGCGAATCTGCCTGGTCTCATGACGGGCGAGATCAAGGTCCCGACCATGGAGGACTTGCAGAAGCTCCCGTACCTGGAGGCCGTGGCGAAGGAGAGTCTGCGTCTGCACATGACGGCCTCCAACCGCATGGCCAACACGGCCACGACGCTCAGTGACGGCACCTTCGTGCCGGAAGGCTGCGCCGTCATGATCCCCATGTACGCGTCCGCGCGCGTGAAGAGCGTCTGGGGCGAGGACGCGGCCGAGTACAAACCCGAGCGGTGGATCGACGCCGCGACCGGCAAGGTCACGCCCGTGTCCCCGTTCAAGTTCGTCACGTTCGGCGCCGGCCCCCGTCAGTGCCTCGGCATGCGCTTCGCGCTGCTGCAGATCCAGACGACGATGGCCGTGCTGTTCAGCCACTTCGACCTCAAGACGACCGAGGACCCGTTCGACCTCACCTACGACTTCGCCATCACGCTGCCCGTCAAGGGCCCGCTCAACGTCACCGTGCGAGAGATCACACCCGCTGCCTACTAGGCAACAACAGCCAACATTGTACAGTACTTGCACGTAACATTGACCTTTTGCCTTCTCAACGCCCCAAAGCCCCCTACTGTGCATCTGTACCTTTGAATGCTTCCCCTCGGGAAGGTCAACTTGCAAGAAGGACAATCGATGATCGATCGCTGAGCCAGCGCTACGTTGTCGGCGCTTGCAGCTGCGCATTGGACCCCGGGCTTGTCGTGGACAATGCGCGGCTCGGTGCCTCGACGTCCCTTCTCCGCCAGTAGCGCTGCAGTTGAAGTGAAGAGGCCACGCGGGCCAATGAGCAGGGCTCGGCGCGCCCTCAAATCTGAAGTAGCCGCTCCTGGCGCGATTAGATAACGGGAGACACGCTGGAGACGATCCGAAATGGGTTGCCCAGCCGGCGCCTGCGCTAAAGCACGGCAACCTCAGTCATGCTGATCCTTGCGGTGGTGCGAGGCTCGCCACGCTGGCCATTGCTGCCGACTCGACTCGGAGCTGCATCATTTTGGAATTCGCCTCGCGCCTCGCAGTTTGACTTCGATCGGATCCAAGCAGCATGTGGGGCATCTCGCAGCACCACGAACGGCAGGCGGTGCTCGCCGCGGGGACGCTCAGCGGCCTCTACCTGGGCTACAAGCTGCTGGTCGCCGTGTACAAGGAGCTGAAGATCACGCGCGCGCTGGACGCCCAGGGGCTGCACCGCCCCAAGTCGACGCTGCCGATTCTGGGCAACACCCTGGACGTCATGTACTTCCAGAAGGACCGACTGCAGGACTGGATGGCCGAGCAGAGTCAGGTCAGCGACGGCAAGCCCTGGGTGCTCAGCATCATCGGGCGCCCGCAGACGTTGATTCTCACGTCCCCCGAGGCCTGCGAGGACGTCTTCAAGGCGCAGTTCGACAACTTCGGACGTGGAGACGAGCTCGTCGACCTGCAGCACGACATCTTCGGCGAGGGCGTGGCCGGCGTGGACGGCGAGAAGTGGCTCAAGCAGCGCCGCATCGCCAGCCACTTGTTCTCCATGAAGATGCTGCGCGACGTCATGGACGAGGTCATCTGCGAGAAGTCCCTCAAGCTGCGCGACGTGCTGGCGCAGTGCGCCAAGGAAGGCTGTGTCGTCCCCATGAAGTCGCTGCTGGGCAAGTTCTCGAGCGACGTGTTCACCAAGATCGGCTTCGGCGTGGACCTGCACGGCCTGGACGGCGACATCAACTCGGAGATGGACCACCCGTTCATCGAGGCCGTCGACGGGTACGCGGAGGTGTTCGGCGCTCGCCTGCAGTCGCCCATGTGGTACTGGAAGCTCAAGCGCTTCCTCAACATTGGCGACGAGCGCATGCTCAAGCGCTGCATCAAGGTGGCCACGGAGCTGCTGAACGAGGTCATGCTCAAGTCGATGGCGAGCAAGACCGCCGAGGACTGGAACACCAAGACGGACCTGCTCACGCTGTTTGTGGACACCACGGGCAAGACGGACTCGTCCGACCTGCGCGACGCCATGATGGACTTCTTCCTCGCCGGCAAGGAGACCACGAGCTTCAGCTTGGCCTGGGTCATCGTCAATCTCAACCGGCACCCGCGCGTGCTGGCCAAGCTTCGTGCCGAGATCCGCGAGAAGCTGCCGGGCCTTATGACGGGCGAGCTGGAAGTCCCCACGATGGAGGACCTGGCCAAGGTGCCGTACATCGAGGCCGTGCTCAAGGAGAGTCTGCGTCTGTACATGACGGGCGTCCACCGCACGCCCATGCGGTCGACCACGCTCCGTGAGGGCACTTTCGTACCCTACGGCTCGTATGTGGTCATGTCGGTGTACGCCGCTGCGCGGGTCAAGAAGGTGTGGGGCGAGGACGCCGCCGAGTACAACCCGGACCGCTGGATCGACGAGGAGACGGGCAAGATCAAGTTCGTCAACCCGTTCCAGTTCATCACGTTCGGCGGTGGCCCGCACCAGTGCATCGGCATGCGCTTCGCCCTGCTGGAGATGCAGACGGTCATTGCCGTGCTCTTCAGCCGCTTCGACATCAAGACGGTCGAGGACCCGTTCAAGATCACGTACGACTACAGCGTCACGCTGCCCATCAAGGGCCCGCTCGAGTGTACCGTGCACGAGGCCACCGCCCCGGCATACTAAGCTCGTAGCCACCTGCAATTACATGTAATTATCATATCACTTCACTTCTGAAGTGGAGTGTCCTCTTGGTGCTGCTCACGCAGAGATGGAAGCAACGACAACACTCAGCTGGGCGGCAAAAGCCACCTTGTTGGTCGTGTGTATATTCTCAACTGAGGCCTAGATTCTTCTCTTTCACCTTTTGTCTTACTCCAACTGCAAGTGGTATAGTGGGGATCAGTATAATCCGCAACAGCCCCACCTACGGATTCCCATCAACTTGCATCTCCAAATCTTGCCCTTGGCAATAATCCCATTGCAGCTCTGTGTTTTTCAAATGCCGGACGTGCCAATGGCTTTGTAAAAGCATCGGCCACGTTATCAACGCCTGGCACCCGAAGCACGTCAATTTCCTTCAAATCGATGCGCTCACGCACGAAGTGGTGGCGCACATCGATGTGCTTGGTCCGAGAATGAAACACAGGGTTGCTGGCAAGCTTCTTTGCACTTTCGTTGTCAACAAAGACTTGGGATGGCTGAATTTGCTGCACCTGCAGCTCCTTCAGCATTTGGCGCAAGTGCACCACCTCCTGCACCAGTAGACTAAGAGCCATATATTCGGCCTCGGTCGTGTGCAGCGCGACGGTCTTCTCCGTCTGGCTGCTCCACGAAATGATGCTCCCACAAAATTGAGTCACGTAGCCTGCAACAGACTTTCGATCATCAACTCGATTTGAAAAATCCGCATCTGCGTATGCTCTCAGATGATCATCCAGCTTTTGATCTGACCACGCTAGGCCACCAAGCTGGGGCCCCCAGTCCGCTGTGTCTTTCAGGTAGCGCAATCCAAGTTTTGCAGCTCTCCAATGCAACAGACCTGGGTTTTCCAAGAACTGACTGCACTCCCTAACTAGGTAGGCCAGATCGGGCCGGGTACCGAGCATCAGGTACATCAGGCTGCCAACCACAGCACGATATGGCTTCGATCTCATCAGTTGCCTTTCATCGTTTTCGGTCGGACACATGGCCTTGCTCAGCTTCAGATCCGCCGTGCTCGGCGTCTTGCAGCCATTGCAGTCCTGCATGTTGAACCGCTTGAGCACGGTCTCGGCATACTTTTGCTGACCAATGAACATCGTTCTCTCGGCCCGGTTCCGCGTGATCTCCCAGCCTAGAATGTAGTCTAACTCCCCGAGATCCTTCATCGCAAACCGGTCCTCGAACATCTTCTTCATCTTGTTGATGAGCTCCATCGACGGAGCAAGCAAAATCAGATCGTCAACATAGAGAGGGATGAAGACCAACTGCCCATCAATTACTTTAACAGCCACGCAGGCCTCCGACTGCAGCATCGTGAAGCCCTGCTCCTCCAAGAACGACTTGAGCAGCTGAAACCACACTCTGGGCCCCTGCTTCAAGCCGTACAGGCTCTTCTTCAATCTGCACACCCAGTCCTCTTTGCCTTTCACTTTGTAGCCTTCAGGCTGCTCCATATAGACCTCCACGTCAATCGCCCCATTCAAGAAAGCAGTAGTGACATCCATCTGATGCACTTCATAATCCCAGACAGCCGCCAGTGTCAAGAGAACACGCAGTGTCTCCAGCCTCACAACAGGCGAGTACACCGATACCATAAATCTGTATGAAGCCCTTGATCACGAGCCTCGCTTGGAATCTTTCGATCTCTCCGTTCGCTAGATACTTGACGTGAAAGATCCAGCGATTCTGCAGCACTTTCACGTGCTTCTCGCGCGGCACCAACTCCCAGGTATCGTTCTTCATCAACGAATCAAACTCATCATCAGCTGCATTTTTCCATTGCAATGAGTGCTCACTCTCCATAGCGTCACCGAAAGTATCTGGCTCTTCAAACTCGCCAGTACTCATGCAGCAATAGTCCTCCCACCATGCAAGGATCAACTCGTTCGCCATAGCACGTTGCAACTCAGCTCGTGCTTTCCTCCATCCAGCAGGCAACGAGTTCACATCGTCATCTGGATTTGTATTTTCTTAGGCAATGTAGACGTAGTCACCGAACCACGTGGGCGGTTTACTTACCCGACCGCTCCGTGTCACTGGAGGGTCTTTATGGCGAGTGCCTCTCGGGCCTGTGTACTCACGAAGTGCTGTGCAAGGAGGCGTTGATAGACGCCCCACACTCGCAGCATCACTCGACACTTGGCTGTCCGAGTCGGCCCGCTCAGCAGCCGATGACCTGCTGTCCACCTCTTCCACCTCTTGACTCCCTGGTAGAGCCCTCGTCTCGTCAGCAGCCGGTCCCTTGTGCCGCCCACTGCTGCGTTTCCTCTTTCTCCTTCTTTTGGAATTGCCTGGCACGCACTCACCTCGCAGGTGGTCTGCCTCATGTCCATTGACACGTTCCTCATCACGTTCTGCCACCTTGCTAGAACGATCACATCCAGATGCTGTAGAGCTCACTCCACGTCCTTCATCTCGTTCTGCCACCTTGCTAGAACGTCAACTTTCAAACACCGCAAACCGCACTCTCTTTGGTCGAGGCGCTGCGGCATCACCACCGGGGCCTCTCTTCTTGGACCCACATGCCCCATCTGACCGGACATCTTGCTCAACTGCCCCACCTGGTCGGTCATCACATCGGGTGTCATCAGCCCCACCAGTCCGATAATCACCTCCGTCTCTGGAGTCGCTGGCCCCACCAGTCCAGCAATCTCCATCATCACGATAACTACCTCCATCATTTGAGTCATCATGCATTTCATCCAGCATTGGCTCAATGTCATCCTCTACTGATCGATCAACGCCTAAATATTCCTTACCGGAGGCTCCACTTGGCGTTGATGCCGAGTCCATGAGCAATCGACCAGCTTTATTCTCATAGAACACGACAGTATGGCTGTAGAAGGCCTTGTTGGTCTTGCTATCGAGCAAGCGATAGCCTCGCTTCTCTCGCGAATATCCAACGAAGACCGCCTCCCGTGCTTTCGCCTGCATCTTCCGTCTCTCCACCTTGTCGATGTACGACAGGACGGCGCAGCCAAACGTCCGCAACTTCTCATAAGCAGGAGTCTGACGGTGCATACTGCATACGGTACCTCCATGCCTCGAACCGAGCTTGGCATAATGTTCACGGAGTATGCAGCTGTCATCGCTGCCTCACCCCACACCGCTTCAGGCAGGTCGAAGTGCACGAGCATGCATCGCATTCTCTCCGTAATGGTGCGGACCATTCTCTCCGCGACACCATTTTGCTCCGGAGTATGCTTGATGCTGCTGTCAAACTCCATACCATACTTCGTGTCACACGTACTTTGCAGCTTCTTGAACTCCTTTGCATTGTCTGACCTTAGCGCTTTCATTCTGACATGCTGCTGCGTCTTGACGCGTTGATAGTACTCCTCAAACTTTTGGTACACTTCCGAACGATGCTCCAGAAGATACACGGTGACAAACCGACTCGCATCATCAACGAACACGGCAAAGTACCGTTTACCACCGTAGGAGTGGACCCCAAGCGTCCACATGGACCTTTTCGCCAACTAACCACTCGCGGGTCTGTGTCCGAGACTTATTCATGCTCTTCCTCGTAAGTTTCCCCGTCACACAGGTCTCGCAATTGAAACCCACCGGGATACGCAAGTTCACATATGGCAACGGCCACTCATCATGGCTGAACAGCGCATTAAACGCGTTCTTGCCAGGGTGCCCCAATCTCGAATGCCAGAGCTCCAAACTACTCACTCGAGCTGGTAGCGCCACCATGGCTACCTCTTGGGGTCTCTCCAACTTCAAGCGATAGAGATTGGTATAATCAACTTGAGCGGTAGTCACACCAGCCTGTAAGATAACATCAGCGCGATCTGCCTCATCAAAGTGCACCTTCACACGATCACGTTCAGGCAGATATTGGTTCAGTTGCCGTCGCACAGAATAGAGACTGCACTGCAGCTCTGGAGCATAACGAACTCCTCGCAGCGTCAGTGAGCACCTCCCACCAGTAGTCTCCAGCTCTTTAACCACAGTACCAATACCCTCAACACCCAGCGAGTTCTTTCCTCCAACTCGAATCCGGGCGCTTAGAGGCGTGAACTCCATGAAATCAGTGAGCTGGTTCGAAATATGACTCGATGCACCAGAGTCCAGGTACCAGTTATCATGGGCTTTGTCTGCGACCGGCTTTTTCATTTTCATCACTTGAAGAATAACATACGCGCTGTCATCACTTTCATTAGCGTAGCTACTCGTTTCAGCAGCCTTAGCACTCTTTCCTCCACTCATCTTCACGCGCTTCTGAGCTTGGGTGCTGCTGCGATCCTCGGCTGGAGGTCGGTTGCCAAGAAACGGGCAATCAAACACATGATGCCCTGCTTCATGGCAGTGATAACAAGCACCACCTGGCTTTTGTCCACTGCCGGCTTGGCCACGTCCAGTTACACGCCCACCACCTTGGCTGCCGCGACCGCCAGAACCATGTCCACCACCGGAACCGCGCCCGTGTCCTCCAGATCGACCACCACGTCCACGGCCGCGACCACGTCCTCGACCTCTTCCTCCACCAGCAAAGAACGCCTTTTCTTCATCATCATTGTCCTTGGCGCCCTCTGCTTTCCGACCTTGGCGATGGTCGTAAGCCATCTCCAATGCGAGTTCAAGTTGTTCATAATTAGGAGGATCATCAGCATTTTGGGGCTTGTGACTGGCGAGAAACGTCTGTACAACATGATCATATTCGCGCGGCAGAGATCCAATCAATAGTGCTCGCTTTACATACTCGTCCACAGGACGCCCGACTCCAGCAATGGTCTCCATCAGCCGACGCATCTCGCTCAGGTGATCTGGCACATTGCCGTTGGGAGCGAGCCGTAGCCGACTGAGCTTGGCCCTCTCCTCAGCGTACTTCAGGTACGTCTTGCCCATAAATCTCTTTTTCAGGCGCTCCATGACACGAAACGGGGTGGGTTCATACTTCACAGTCTTCATTATGTGATTCGTCATTGCGTCGTAGATGATCTCCTTGGCGTGGGCCATCTCGCTCGTCCACGTCGCGTGCGCCTCTGCCTCCTTGCTCTCGTCCGGCTCGAGCAAGTCCTCCATGCAGTACTTCCACAGCTTCTTCCTCTCCAGCTTGAGCTTGACTCGCTCGTGCCAGACCTCGTAGTCCTTGCCGTTAAACGGCGGGATCGTCCTCTTCTCCTCGTGTGACTCCTTGGGCGTCTTCTTCTGATCCGCCATGACGTCCTAGTTGCTGTGCTCCCCACGCGTGAGCCTTGGGCTCATAACCTGAAGTGGAGTGTCCTCTTGGTGCTGCTCACGCAGAGATGGAAGCAACGACAACACTCAGCTGGGCGGCAAAAGCCACCTTGTTGGTCGTGTGTATATTCTCAACTGAGGCCTAGATTCTTCTCTTTCACCTTTTGTCTTACTCCAACTGCAAGTGGTATAGTGGGGATCCGTATAATCCGCAACAACTTCAACCTACCTAACAAATTGAACGCATTCACAGTCTTGCCAAGACGCCATCGGCTGGCGACTCCCGCAAATGCCCGCAGATGTTGAAGCTGTTCACTGCTGCCCGTGAGTGGACCACCACGAGGGTATCGACGGGATCAGCTGGGGCGCTCGCTCTCTCGAGACTTTCTCCTCTACTCCTCAATTCGGCGTCATCCGCGCATTCCGGTGGGCTTCAACAGTACCTATGTGGACTCTGAGCCAGCACGCCACGTTCGACAAGGCCGCCGCGACAGTCGCGCTCGTGACTGCAGCGTACGTCGGCTGGAACGTCGTGTCGGCCGTCGTAGCGAGACGAGCCGTGAACCGCGTGCTCGCAGACCAGGGGGTCTATGAGCCTCCGTCGCTGCCCGTGCTGGGCCACACGCTGGACCTGATGCACAACAAGGACCGCTTCCACGACTGGTTCGCGGAGCAGTGTCTCGCTGCGGGTGGCCGTCCGTGGGTCTTGCGCATCATCGGACGCCCACCGACGTTGGTGCTCACGTCACCGCAAGAAATCGAGGACGTGTTCAAGACGCAGGTGGACATTTTCGAGAAGGGCCTGGACATCCGTGAGATCGGCCACGACTTCTTCGGCGACGGGATCGTCGGCGTGGATGGCGAAAAGTGGCAGAAGCAGCGACGCACCGCCAGCCACTTGTTCTCGGTGGGCATGCTCCGAGACGTCATGGACGCCGTGGTAATGGAGAAGACGCTGCAGCTGCGGGACGTGCTGGCCGAGTGTGCTCGCGTGAACCGACCCGTGAGCATGAAGTCGCTGCTGGCCAAGCTGTCGAGCGACGTGTTCACGAAGATCGGCTTCGGCGTGGACCTCAACGGCCTGGGAGGTGACGTCGACGACGACATGGAGCACCCGTTCATCAAGGCCGTCGAGACGTATGGGTCTGTCTTCCAGTCGCGACTTCAGAGTCCGATGTGGCTCTGGCGGCTGAAGAAGCGCCTGGGTGTTGGCGAGGAAGGCGAGCTTCGCAAGGCTCGAGTCATTGTGCACGACCTCGTGATGGAGATTATGAAGAAGTCCATGGCTAGCAAGAACTCTGCAACCGGTTCAAAGCAGCAGAAGGACTTGATCACGCTCTTCATGAAGACAATGGACAGCTCTGCCGACGTGATGGAGGTGCGCGACGCCGTAATGAACTTCTTCTTGGCCGGCCGAGACACCACCTCATTCAGCATGTCCTGGATGATCGTCAACATGAACCGGTACCCGCGGGTCCTCGAGAAGATTCGCGCCGAGATCAACGCGAACCTGCCCGAGCTGCTTACAGGCGAGATTCAAGCTCCTTCCATGGCAGACCTCCAGAAGCTGCCGTACCTGGAGGCAGCGATGAGGGAGAGCCTTCGCCTCTATATGGCCACCGTGCATCGTGCGCCCAACCGGTCGACCACGCTCAGCGGAGGTCTTCACGTGCCGTTCGGCACGCACGTGATCGTGCCGACGTACGCAATGGGGCGAATGCCGACAGTTTGGGGCGAAGATGCCGCCGAGTACCGCCCCGAGCGCTGGATCGGCGAGGACGGCCGCGTGCTCAAGGTGTCGCCCTTCAAATTCTTCAGCTTCCTGGCCGGCCCGCACCAGTGTCTTGGCATGCGCTTCGCTCTGTTGGAGATGCAGACGGTCATGGCAGTTCTGCTCAGCCGCTTCGACATCAAGACGGTGGAGAACCCGTTCGAGATCACCTACGACTACTCGCTCGTCATTCCCGTCAAGGGCCCACTGATGGCCAACATCCACGATCGATCGACGTCCGTGGCGGCTAGCAGCTAATCAAGGCCTGCCATCGATGCATGAATACAAGAAATGGAATGTGAAGTCTATTTGGTACGTAGCCTCTACTTTGTGTTCTTTGGGGCACGTCCGCGGCGGAGTCAATGGCGCGAGAAGAAGAAGGCGTACGTCGCCATCTTGTGCACTGGGACCTTCGCCGCCTTCTTGGTCACATGACGCATTGATTTTCGACTCCTGGCGCTTGATCGGATCTCGGTTGCTATCGTCGGTGGAGCAGCAACATCGCTGGACGTGCAGCTTGGTGTTGTCGCTGGCAGCGTGGACGCCCTGAAGCGGCTCATGAAAGCACCCAGCAATGCGCACCACTGTCGTCTCCACTCGTGCGGCTTCGCAACAGCACTACTTGTCTGCTTGTCGTCAACACCGATGCTTGTCCTGCTCGTAGTCGGCGTCAGTCTGCCCTACCTGCTCTGTGTTTGTAGTCCAGCACCCCACCGGTAGCCCCCCCCCCCCCCAAGGCGCAGCTGTTCAAGATCGCGCTGCCTGGAATAGCCCTCATGCATGGCCCCGCGCAGCCCTCATGACCATCAAGACGCACAGATTTCCTGAAAGAAAATGGTATTAGCTTAGGTATATAGTCGAGTCCGAAGCCCGGAGGCTGCGTCGGGGCACCTGCTACTTATTCAACACGGCAGCCCTGCACCGACCGACCGATCTCCGGCCCTCGTCCGGGCCGCTCAGTGGCGCGTGTTGGCCGCGTGCTGGAAGGCGTACTGGCCGGCCTTGGCCGCGAGCTCCGGGTTCTTGCTCATGAAGTTAGCGGCCTCCTGGCTGCCCGTGGTGTATCCGGCCGTGGGGTCCGCGTCGGCGCTGAGCGACGACTTGAACTGCGGGTGGCGGCACATGACCAGCAGGTTGATGAAGGCGTTGAAGCACATAAGCACTCCGGCGATGGTCGCGAGCGCCGAGCCGATGCCGAAGTCCAGGAAGCCGATAAAGAAGATGAAGGCGGCGCGGCCTTTGTAGCTGTAGAGGAAGCCGAAGTTGGAGCGGATGGCCGTCTCCATGCGCGACAGGCGGCACTCGAAGAGCAGGAAAAGGATGCCGAACATGATGACGTAGATGGACACGAGCGTGCCCGTGATGTTGAGCGTGATGAAGGACGTGATGCCCACGACGCCGGCGATGATCTGCAGGATGGAGCAGCCCACGTTGCCCAGGCGCATGTAGCGCAGCAGCTTGGGCAGCTCCATCTTGTTCACATCGTTCACCTTCTGGATGAAGTTGCGCTTGGGCGGCGCGGCGGGCGCCATGTCGCCGCCGACGCTGTCGGTGTTGATGGTCACGCTCGTGGTGCCGCTCATCATGGTTGCTGCGCTGTCTCGAGGGCTGGAGGGAGAGAGAGAACGGGGAGGAGGAGCACGCACGCGCGTTAGAGCTGCTTTTCTCGACTGGGGATTCCCTCGTCAGGTCAGGCAGGACGCGCGTACCTTTGGCTTACGCGCACAGAGCGACGAGCTAAAGTTAGCGGCGAGGAAGCGGCGACAGGAATGGAAAGAGGCGCTGCAAGGTCCAGTATGGGAGAGAATTCTATTTGTGGCGCACTAGAGTACCGAAATCAAGGTACATTGGTGTGGCATTGTGTACATCAATCAATGCGGTACATTGTGCCGGTCGTGGAGGGTTAGGTGTCGGGTTGCGTACTTAAGAACCAGAACCAGACTGGCTACTCGCTAGGTTCGATGGATACAAAACGGTACAGTAAGCTCCGCTGTTTGCTGGCTGGTGCCGCCTTCCTGGAGTCCCCAGCGATTGCGGGCAGCGCTCCAGCTCCGGCTGTACATGTCAGAGCTGTTGCGGATCTCATGAGAGCACACACTCACACGCTGTGGCTGCTGCCGCTGCTTTCGCGCGCGCCGTCTACTGCAGTCTTGGTCACAACAGTGCTGACCGAGGTCGCAGTTGGCACAATTTCGACACCCGCAGCAGCGCCGCCGCAACAACACATCTAGAGATAGCTTCCTTGCTATCCTTCCGCCGACTCTGGTGCGTGCGCTATCGCGCCGCGCGTCCACCTCTTCTAGGTGCGCTCTGGTCCGCTGTGGGTGACAAGTGAGACGGAGGCGCCGGCGATCTCGTCACGGGTCGACCGCGCACCGGCCACCTTCACGCCTTGGCACCCGCTGGCCTCGTCCCGCGACACTCGGATCGGAGCTTGCACCGTGCAACACCACATCTCGCTTCTGCAGCATGCACTGTGCTCCGGTCTTATGGCGGCGCGCGGATTGGTCGTTAACGCGGGGCTCCCCATCGCGAGGATTCGAGCCTGCCCCATGTGGTTTCACGGACATGACTGCTCTACGGTATTTGCGCTCTGTATGATGGATAGCCGGCAGCCGGAGAGCGCTTGGTCAAGCTGGTTTGCTGTGCGGAAGCGGCGTGGACGGCATTTCGCAAAGGAGCCCGAGCGATACACGCGCAGGTTTCTCTCACGCGGCTGGCAGGTTACAGGGAGCGGATCAGAGGAGAGGCGAACAGGTTCCAGGATTCGACACGCCCCAGCCAGCGCTGAGCGCTATTTATCTCCGTAGACCACAAACAGGAAGGAAGGACTCGACACAGCAGCAGCGAAAATGGCGAACATCACGGACGCCACGTGCGACTTTGGACTCGCGCAGACGGAGGACGGATGCATCCGAACGCTGGCATCCTACGACCCGAGCTCGTACCACACGACCCAGGCCGTCTACTTGGCGCTGGGCGGCATCAGCGTCGCAGCTAGCGTCATCCTTTACGTTCGCTCCGTGAAGCACGAGGGTGCTCTGCTCCAGCAGTACAGCTTCCTGTTCTGCTGCTACGGCGCCGTGACCATGGTGATTCGAGGCGCGGACCCCCTCAGCTATGGATATGTCATCCCGCGACCGATTAGCGCCTTCCTCGCCGATACCTGCACCGCCGCGCTGTACTCCGTGTAGTAAGTTCTCCCCAGACTCCCCTTCTGTGCTTTGCCGTAGCGATGATCTCTCGAATAACCTCGTGTGTTTGCTCCCCCGTCGCGCTTGTGCAGCATTATGGCTCTGGGTTACTGGGCCACCATCATCCAGCGCGGCGCAGCGGTGACCGACAAGCCCCCGCACCTGGTCTGCCTGGAGAGTATCGCCATCGCCGTGGTCTGGACGTTCCAGGTCTTGTACGACATGTGCCTCTTCCTGTCGAAGGGCTTCAACCCGCAGGGCCTCGTGTACATGCAGCTCACGGTGAGCGCCTGCATGCTGGGAATCATCAGCACGGTCTTCCTTATCTACGGCCTGCGCGTGCTGAGTCGCCTGCAGCAGTACGAGCGCCAGCTCAAGCTGCGCATGCCGAGCATGCACGAGGACCGCATGCTGTCGAACCGGTCGTTCGACATGAATATGAGCGACGATGAGGACGGCACGCCCGTGATGCGGGATCGCAAGATGCGTCCGCGTCCGCAGGAGGGCCACGCCTCCAAAATCAAGAAGATCCTGTTCGTGGTGGAGACCTGCTCGCTCGTCGTCGTCGCCGCCCAAATGTACATGGCCATCGACCGCACGAGCGACACCCCCGTCGAGCTGTCCTGCGCGAATGGCAGGCTGTGCGAGACCGTCAAGTGCAGCGTGAACCTGCTCCACATCTTCCAGGTACAGTCGCTTGATCTCTTGTGTCTGCCCAACGCTGCTGTGCCTGCGTCTAACCGAGTCTGCGTCGTTGCTTAATGTCCTGTAGATCATGTGCATCTGGGTCATACTGTGGACTTTCCGCAAGATTCAGAAGAAGGCCGTCGTCCCGAGGCCGCACGGTGTCGCGTAAGCTGCGCACTACAACGAGCTCCGCCTCGAGTGTCAATGGCCCCACGTGGCGTGGCGCCGCGCGGAGCTGGAACAGCTGATAACCTTGGCTCTGTCGAGGCCACATGAATGTATCTGTAGCGAAAACTTTGGCTCCGTCGAGGCCACCTGTAGCGTGTGCACTACTATCAAATGAACTCTGTGTGAAGTCGCGTCGCCCGGGGTCGAGTAAGTGAGCCCAAGACCGTGCTCAGCTCATACAGCTCGTACGTTTGCCTGTGGGACGCTGAATCCTGACAGTGCAGGCTGAAGTTGAAGTTGACCTCCATGGTCGCATACTATCACGGGTGTCCACAATGCTCTGGTATCATCTTACAGAGCCATTTCAGATCAAATTAACACTTTTCGTCTCTTTCCGTGTGTTTTGCAACCATCGCTACTCGCAGAGCCTTTGTCTATTAGCTACCATGTTCTACAGGGTCAATACGATGCGCATTGACGCGCATATGTTTCAACGACACCAAAAGCGGGAATGCTTGACCTGCACTTCCCGTCGGGAACATCAGCGCCCCAAAGACCGGAGGGATCAGCCAGTCAGTGCAGCGCCAAGTCGGGAGGTTGGCCCATTTCTAAAAACCCTTCGCGCTCGCTCCGCCATGACCTTGATGGGGCTCAACATCACGGACGCCACGTGCGACTACGGACTCGCGCAGACAGCAGCGGGCTGCGCGCGGGTGTTGGCGACCTACGACCCGAGCGTGTACCTGCACTTTCAGATCGCCTACTGCGTCGTGGGCTCCGTGACGCTCATCATGAGCGCCGTCATGTACTACCGAGCCGACAAGTACGACGGCTCGCCGCTGCAGCTGTCCACGTTCCTCTTCTGCTGCTACGCGGCACTGACGATGATCGTCCGGGGCGCAGATCCCTCGAGCTACGGCCACATCATCCCGCGCCCTGTCGGGGCCTTCCTCTCGGACTCGTGCACAGCTGCGCTCTACTCTGTGTAGTACGTCTTTGAACTCTGTCGGCACTGTTGTTGTTTGGGTTGGGCTTGTTGTCTGACTGCTGTGCTTGTGCGTTTCCACCTCTACAGTGTCATTGCACTGGGCTACTGGGCGACCATTATCCAGCGGGGCGCCGCAGTGATCCACAAGCCCGCACACCTCAAGTGCCTTGAGTCCGCGGTGATCGCGTTCATCTGGGCCTTTTACATCGCCTACGACATGTCCCTCTTCGCGTTCAAGGGCTTCATCCCGCCGACCCTCAACTACATTCAACTGAGCGTGGGTGCGAGTGTTCTGGCCCTGATCGCCCTGACATTCCTCATCTACGGGCTGCGCGTGATGACGCGCCTGCAGGAGTACGAGCGGCAGCTGAAGCGGCGGATGCCCAGCTTCGAGTCGGACTACAACCTCTCGAACCACTCGTTCGACCTGAACGTGAGCGACAGCGAGGACGAGGCGCCGGCCGCGCAGGAGCGTCGGGTTGCTCCTCGTCGCCCTGCCGCAGGACACACGGCCAAGATCAGGAGGATCCTCCTCGTGGCCGAGGCGGTGTCCATCGTCGTCATCGCTGGCCAAGTGTACATGGTCACGCAGATCTCCTACTCACCGGTGGAGCTCGCGTGTGCCAACGGCATGCTGTGCAGCACCGTCAAGCCCAAGTGGAGCTTGCTGCATGTCTTCCAGGTGGTTGCCGTCTGGGCCATTTTGTACGTCTTCCGCGACGTCCAGAAGAAGAGTGTCATTCCACACGCGCGAGGCAGCACAGTATACTAGGCATTGGGGCAAAAGCGAGAAGTAAAGTATTAGTATTTGTGAAGACGATCGCTGGCCGAAAACTGCAGCGGCTACAGGCCTGTTATTCACGTGTTCATTCATGGCTCTATTATAGCTCCGCCAAAGAAGTTGCTCACTGATGCCCACCTCGCCATCGGCAGTCTCCGTATAATGTGACGGGTCATCTAGGCTCGATGAACGCCATCCAGCAAAGCTTTCACATTGTGCAGACAGAGACCGGTCCGGCTGTCACCAGTCGTAGCGAGCGATTGACTCCAGGTTCGAAGCCGCGTCGCGCCTCCTCTCACCGCAGTGTATCGGATGACTCGATTTGGATCCCTTGGTGCAGCCAATTGACAGATGGCCCCACGACGGCGGATACCCGTTGCTCTCAAGGTTGCATCCCAACATGCGAGCTCGCAGACTCGCCCTTACCGAATGCTGGGTGGATCCTGCGGCAGGAGTGCGCACGTATTCGCCGCGAGGTCCACTGACGGGACCAGTAGCCAATTCGCCTCGAGCAGGAGCCATGATACTGGGCATGAACATCACCGACGCCACGTGCGACTTCGGGCTCGCGCAGACGTCGGCCGGGTGTGTACGCACCCTGGCGTCGTATGACCAGAGCGGATATCTGACGTTGCCGATCGCCTACTGCGTAGTTGGTGTCCTGACGGAACTAGCGAGCGCCATCATGTACTACCGAGCAGTGAAGCACGACAGCTCACCGGTGCAGCAGTACTCGTTCATACTCTGCAGCTACGCGTCGCTCACGATGATCGTCCGCGGCGCCGACCCAACGAGCTACGGTCATATCATCCCCCGTCCTATCGGGGCCTTCCTCACCGATTCGTGCACAGCTTCGCTTTACTCCGTGTAGTAAGTTGATTCACTTCTACCGATCACGTCGTAAACAAACCAAGACTAACGACCTTCGTCCCTGCTCAGCATCCTCGCACTCGGGTATTGGGCTCTCGTCATCCAGCAGGGGGCGGCGCTTATGGAGCGACCGACGCATCTAAAAAGTTTGGAGGCCGCGGCGATCGCGTTTGTATGGGCGTTCTACACCGCCTACAACATGTCGCTCTTCGCCTTTACAAAGGGTTCCAGCCCGCGGTACTCAACTACGTGCAGTTGTCTGTTAGCGTGTGCTTACTGGCCGTCGTCGCGGTGACTTTCCTCGTCTACGGGCTGCGCGTGCTATCGCGTCTGCGCGCGTACGAGCACGAGATGAAGCTGAGGATGTCGACGATGGTCTGCGAGCGCATGGCGCCGAACCAGTCGTTCAGCTTGATGCTGAGCGACGACGAAGAGGGAGTGCCCGTGGTCACAGAGCCCCGCTACGCGCGACGCAGGCCGAACGCGGGGCACTCGGATAAGATCAAGAAGATCCTCGTGGTGGCCGAGGCTATCTCGGTTATCGTGATCGCTGGACAGCTCTATATGGCTGTCACCAACGTGTCGAACTCGCCCCTGGAGCTCTCTTGCGCCAACGGGGCGTCGTGCAGTTCGATTACGGCCAAGTGGAGCTTGCTACACACCCTACAGGTTGTGTGCGTGTGGATCATCCTGTGGGTCTTCCGCGGCGTGCAGAAGAAGAGTGTGGTGCCGCGGCCTCACGGATCCGTCGTAGTGTAGTCTGGTTTAGGGCCGATGGCAGCCCCTACAGCGATCTACTAAGCACACGTATCTAAAAGCTGTCGCCTTGGGGTTATTGTACAGTGTATTGCACCGCGCTTCCAGGTCCTGACCGATTTCGAGTTTACCGCGGCATGTGATCAGTCCATCTGGTGATTACCAGATTCATACTGCGCCTATGGGGCGGACCGTCCCTACTGGCCAGGTCTCCGCTGTGGCGGATGTTGGGCCATCGTCCGCAGAGCCAAGTTCCAGTTCAGCGCCTCGGTGAGCACCATGAAGCTCCACGTGAGCGACACTACGTGCTGGTTCGGCCTCGCGCAGACGGAGGAGGGGTGTGTGCGCACGCTGGCGTCGTACGACGAGGAGGCCTACCTGCACGTGCAGATCGTCTACTGCGCGCTGGGGGTTCTGAGCGTGATCGCAAGCGCCATCATGTACTGCCGAGCAGTCAAGTACATAGGCTCCGCGCTGCAGCACTACTGCTTCCTGCTGTGCACCTACGCCTCCGTGACGGTTGTCGTCCGCGCGGCTGACCCGGGCAGCTATGGCAACATTCTGCCGCGACCGATCACGAGCTTCCTCTCCGACTCGTGCACAGCGGCGCTGTATTCCGTGTAGTACGTGGCAGCGTCATTCCTAACCTTCTTGCTGTCTGCGCTACCATGGCTAATTCATTTATTGTTGTTGATGACGTTTTTGCAGTATATTGGCGCTTGGTTACTGGGCTCTGATCATCCAAAAGGGCTCTGCTGTCGTCGAGAAGCCGACGAAACTGCGGTGTCTAGAGATCTCAGCGATTGCCTTCGTGTGGATATTCTACACGGCCTACAGCATGGCTCTCTTCGCGTCCAAAGGGTTTCAGCCCGTGTGGATGCTCTACATGCAACTGGTTGTCAGCGCGTGCATTCTCGGGGCGATCAGCACGACGTTCCTCGTGTACGGACTTCGCGTGCTGTCGCGGCTTCAGATGTACGAGCGCGAGGCGAAGCTGCGGATGTCCAGCGCCCTATGCGAGCGCATGATGCCCAACGAGTCGTTCACTTTGGCCTGCAACAGTGACGACGGCGGCATCCCCATTATCCCCGAGCCACGATACGCTCGACGCCAGCCCCAGGAAGGACACGCGACCAAGATCAAGAAGATCTTGTTTATCGCAGAATCGGTATCGCTCGTTGTGATGGTTGGCCAGCTCTACATGGCGGTATCTCGTGCTGCCACCACGCCGGTGGAATTCTCCTGCGCGAATGGGAAACTGTGCAATATGGTCAAGTCGAGTGTCAATGTGCTGCACCTGTTCCAGTGCGTCTGTGTCTGGGTGTTGCTGTGGACGTTCAGGAGGATAAAGAAGAAGAACGTCGTCCCGCAACCGATTGTATAAGGTGTTCGTGCGAGGCGTGGTCAACGACAAAAGAGGAAAGCCCGGCTAGTGTTGCGGGACCTCAACAGGCGGAGGACGGCGAGTACTAATTGCACATTCGTGTATGTCTGTTAGCGTGGTCTTGGTGATGAAAGTAATCCTAATGTAAATTGAGCATGAAAGTCGTTATAGACTGTGTTGTGTCGAACAGTAAAACTAAGGTTTGGAGGCTCACTTGTTCATGGAATCGAGAGCTTGGCAGGACTCGTCGAGGTGTCGATTGTGCACCTTCGTTTGTCATGAACGCGAAAGTGTCTGATGTCTGATACTGCGGAACGAGAAGTAATGTTTCGTGCATCAAAATGGTACTGTAGCTTGGAGGCACACGCGCTGCCGCTATGATAGCACAACCAAGTGCGCCACCAAAAGCTCAACGTTCTCGACTTGGAAATGTGGCCGAGTTGGAGTGGCTTTCGAATCTTCGAGCAGTTGTCGACGCTCAATACATGTAGTATGCCACAACACGCCAACACGCTGACATCATCGGCCTTGCCGATCGAGAAATGTAGATCGGCAGAGTTGCGGCCATGAACTTTTTGGTCAGCTGGCCAAGGCGAACGTTTCCTCCCTTTGTTACCATCGCAGTGGTTGGCACGCTGGGGTTCGCTTCAACTTCGGCCTTAGTCCATTCATCAATCGGACATGGTGTTGCTGGTGCTGATACCGCAGACAACTTAACTTGTACTAAGAACTCCTATAAGCTTGTGGTACAGTAAATACAGTAGCCAGCAGCATCGAACCGCATCGAAGCTGACACGATGTGTGTATGACAAACTGCATTTTCCTCTCGACGCGTGACATGTCGGCGACTTAGCAAATCAATGGGAAAACGTCAAAAGGTGTATGCGTTGGGAAAACGTTTGTCAATAGGTGTAGTGGTCGTGGGCGTCACGTCGCGTCATGTCTCATCATACACATACTGACACACGTTTTGGTTGCCGCGGTATTTCGGCCGAGGTCGGGTCATACAGACCCAGGATCGAGCTTCCAAGCACAGTAGTTTATTAACGACACGCTCGTCCGGTTCGTGGTGCCCATGACTTTGATAGCGAATTGTACGACTGAGGGACTACAATGAACGTCGTTATCCATTGTAGCCAGGCCTCAGCGTTGCCACAGTTCTACAATACCTACACTCTCCCGCGGTTGGGGACTCTCACTAGAGCTCCTTCACCTCCGAAATTCAGATGCAAAACCTACCTAGTACAGCCATGCTGTAGACGCTTGCGGTTTGCGTTGGTAGTTCCTTGTAGCCACAATAGCGAAGTTGTCGAGTACAGTTGCTCTATATGCTATTATTAGTTGACCGTGTTCGCTGCTAGTTGCATCAGGTAGAAGCCTTACTAACCCCGGGTTTTATGGATTTGGATCTAAGCCCACACACCAGTCACCGCATTCGTTGCTGATGCAGCTTTATGATGCACCTTAGTGCGCTTGGAACCACATACACATACTGTCTAGCATACACCTAATGACACGAGTTAACCGCTTTTGACAAAACGTTTCAAATTCATACACCTTTTGACGTTTTCCCCAAATCAATCGCAGGTGCTTTTCTGTGCTACGCTTCGCCAGCGGCTGTGCACGAGTTCAAGGCCAAGATGTTGAGTCGGTCCATTCGAAGAGGCAACAGCTGCAGACGCGTAGCGGAGCTCGTGGTCCTCGAGATGGGGTCCAAGGACGCACCCTTCACTCACTTTGCATTCTCCCCTGGTGAGCCGAAGTCGGATAGGAAGGAGGCAGGATGTCCAACATCACGCACGCGACGTGTAACTACGGCCTCGCCCAGACGGAGGACGGCTGCGTGCGCACGCTGTCCTCGTATAACCCGAACGCGTATCTGCACGTGCAGATTATCTACATCAGCCTTGGTAGTGTGACGACACTCGCCAGCGCAGTCATGTACATCCGGTCACTCAAGCACGAAGCGTCCAGGCTGCAGCAGTACAGCTTCCTCTTCTGCTGCTACGCGGCGTTGACAATGGTCTTAACCGGCGCGGACCCCAAGAGCTATGGACACGTCATTCCTCGCCCCGTCAGCAGCTTCCTGTCGGACTCACTCACTGCCGCGCTCTACTCCGTGTAGTAAGTAGCTCGTTGGCCCTCAGCTATCGGCCACAACCCATCGTCTAACCTTCGTGCCTGTTTGTTGTGTGCAGCATTCTGACTCTGGGGTACTGGGCCACAATCATCCAACAGGGCGCTGCCATGGGCGAGCGACCAGCTCACCTCATCTGCTTGGAGAGCATCGCGATGGCGGTGGTGTGGGCCTTTTACATCATCTACAACCTCGCTCTCTTCCTGTCCAAGGGGTTCAACCGCAAGGGGTTCACCTACCTGCATCTGATGTGGAGCGCCATCATGCTGGGCATCATCAGCACAGTCTTCCTCATCTACGGCCTGCGCGTCCTCTCTCGCTTGCAGGCGTACGAGCGCGAGAAGAAGCTCCGCATCCCGACGCTCATGTCGGAGCGCATGATGAACCACTCGTTCAACATGGGCAGTCTGAGCGACGACGAGGACGGCGTCCCTGTGGTGCAGGAGCCCAAGCTCGCCAACCGCGGCAAGCCGAAAGACGGTCATTCGGCCAAGATCCGCAGGATCCTGTTCGTGACCGAGTCCGTGTCGCTCATCGTCATCGCTGCGCAGATGTACATGGCGGTCACTCACACCGCGAACGAGTCCGACGAGCTCCAGTGCGCCAACGGCATCGGGTGCGCGTCCATTAAGGCCAACCTCAGCTACCTCAACGTGCTGCAGGTGGTCTGCGTATGGGTAATATTGTGGGCCTTCCGCACGATCAAGAAGAAGGAGGTGGTGCCTCAGCCGCAGACGCACTACACCATGGCGTGAGCGATCGATGTTAGTGTGAGTGTAAGTGTTAGTGATATTCGTAGTGAGCGAGCACTGCTCGATAGCAGTAAAATTGTACGGCCAAGTCATGAGCCGGCTAATGACGATAAGTAAAGGAGGAAGTACGGATCCGATAGAGCGGGAGGCCATGCACCTTGTTGAGCCAGAGGAATGTGCAAAATCGGTCGTGCTGACTCAAGTTCGACTACGATTTCGACCACTGCAAGCCATACAACTCTTGTCACGCGTTGCTGTCGTGTGGATACCAAAGGTGAGACCTGCACACAAGTCTCTGGTGACCTGGAGCCCGGACTCTACAGAGTGGACCTGTTACTGCCTGCACCGTTGCAGTCGAATGTGCGGCTGGGGATGGCTTATGATGTCGACTACCCACGGTCTGTATGTCTGTGGGCGAGTTTGAGCACGCCGACTAACTAACATTCACCAATTTGCGGTCGACACCTACAGCATCCCGGAGATGAACATCACGGACTCGACTTGCTGGTACGGGCTCGCTCAAACGAAAGACGGATGCGTAAGAACGCTTGCGTCCTACGACCCGAGCAGCTACCACGCCTACCAGATAGGGTACTGCGTCGTCGGCACTGTAAGTCTCATCGCGAGCGCCACCATGACAGCGCGCGCGTTCAAACACGACGGGTCCAATCTCCAGCGCTGCAACTTCACGTTCTGTTGCTACGCGTCGTTGACGCTGATGATTCGCGGCGTCGATCCGTCCAGCTACGACCACGTTATCCCTCGGCCCGTCAACTCTTTCCTGAGCGACTCGTGCACAGCCGCCCTCTACTCATGCTAGTACGTAACTTAGTCATACTTTCCTCGTCGTAATAATGAGCTAAGACTAACATAATGCCGTGCTGCCCGCAGTGTTCTAGCATTGGGCTGCTGGGCGCTCGTCATCCAGCAGGGAGCTGGTGTGGTCACTAAGCCGACGCGCCTGAAGTGCTTGGAGAGTACCATCATCGTATTCATCTGGGCGTTCTACATCGTCTACGACATGCTGCTCTTCCTGTACAAAGGCTTCAACGCGACGGGTCTAGCGTATCTGCAGTTGGCAGTGAGCGCTATGGTGCTCGGGATCATCTGCACGGTCTTCCTCATCTACGGACTCCGGGTGCTCTCACGCCCGCAAGACTTCGAGATTCAAAAGAGGCATCGGATGCCGAGTACGCTATCGGAGCGGATGATGCACCGCTCATTCAACATCGAAACCCTCAGTGACGACGCAGATGGGGTACCGGTTGTCACTGAGCCGAAGTATGGCCTTCTTTATCCTGAGAGCGGACACGCCGGCAAGATCAAGAAGATTCTCTTCGTCGCCGTCAGTCTGTCGATCATCGTCATCACTGGGCAAATGTACATGGCCGTTCAGCGCACTCTCACCGAACCCAAGGAGCTCTCGTGTGCCAACGGCATCGGATGTGCCGACGTCAAGTCGAGTCTCAACCTGCTCCACGTCCTGCAGGTTGTCTGCGTTTGGGCGGTTCTTTGGACATTCCGAGATATCCCAAGAAAAGATGTCCAGCTGCAACCCCTATAAGTAGACACATTCGTCCAGTTTTAAGCCGGTTAGTTAGTTATATCCAAGCGAACGTAAGCTTAAGCAAATATTTTGAAGTAATAAATCGTGATCTTTGCAATCGGAAGGATCAAGAGCGAGGGATTTATCGCTAGAAAACCCTCCAACGTTTTTTTTTACTTCTTACGCGCGCTGCGTTGCTGCTTGGTACTTCTTGTGGAACCAGTCAGCAATGTACGCGAACGGTGCCTCAACCCCCGAGTTTTGTTGCTGGAGATACGAAAAGAATACCAAAAGAATAAACAAAGTCAGCAAGTGTGTTGCGGTTAGTGGATCATGTAACATGAGCTTACCGCGGAGCACTCGAAATACTTGAGGTCGTTGCGCTCTGCGAACTCCTCGGCCTCCTTCGTAGTGATAGCGTCGCGGTTATTGTAGCGGAGATCGGTCTTGTTGGCCAGCAATACACCTACCAAGCCCCACAAAACGCGTTAGGACCACTATACCCTAGGACATGCCATTAGTCCTTCATACCAGGGATGTTGTGGTTCGGAGACGCGTCACGAACGTCCTGGTACCACTTGCTGCACGACTTGAAGGACTCTTTGTTGTTCACATCAAACACCACTAGAGCCATCGACGCGCCTTTGTACTGAAAATGCACCGCACTCAACACAATTAGCATCGCTTCAAACATCCTTCGAGAAATGCACAGGGCAAACAAACGTACGTGAACAGTGCCGAAGTCGAGTTGGTTAAAGATGCTTTGGCCGGCGCAGTCAAAGAGGTAAAGCTCCACGACGACGTTCGTATCCGGGATTGCAATGCTTTTGGTCGACAGCTCCACGTCGGACGTCTGTGAAGAAAAGTAAGCAGCAGCATCAACGAAACTATCCGTCTAGCCTTGCTCACTGCATGTATAACCTCACCATAACGTAGTTCTTCGGGTATTCGTGGCCGTTGCTCTTCAGAACCTGCAGCAAGGCCGTCTTGCCCACAGTCGCGTCCCCAACGATCGCCACCTTGCAGCGCAACACCGTCTGCACACAGAACAGAGTTAGGATGCAGTAGAGGCCTACCGTATCGGGTAGCTGGTCCTCACCGTGCTCTTGTGGGTTGTCTCCATACTGCGCAGCGCCGACATGATAGCGCTTTGGATTGTGCGAACGATCCTTTAAAAGACACGAGCGGTCGTAGGGCCAAACCGACAATGCCCAACACATTCGCAGGGGTGTTTTAACTCCATTCAAAGCTTTAGCTTTACTGCCAGGACCTGGCCATGGGCGCTCTATCTTCCCCAGGTAGAAATCTAACACGCTCTTCGTCGCCCTCGCTCGTGGTAATATCGCTTAACTCCCTCATTTTGAGAAAGCGCGCCGCCTCTTGTCTGAGCAACTCCCGGAGCACCACATAGCCAGTGATGCACTCTGCTATGAGCAGCAACACAAAGCATGTGCCCGCCACAACGTCGAAAGGAAGGCGGTGCTCAGCGAAGAAGGTCAGGTAGACGAAGCCAGGGAACACTGGACACGCCGACAGGAACATGAACGCTGTGAGGGGGAAAACCTGCGCTCGCAAGTTCCCGCGCGTGCCCAGGTAGTATCGAGCTACATCCGCCGGGATCAATACTACCAAGCAGCACACAGGCAAAGCCCGTTGCAGCGACGAATTGTACTCGAGCGCAGCCAGCTTTCATTCAAACAAGCAAACAAACACCATCAGCATATAGAGCAACTCCAACTCGCAGCCAAAAGCGTCTTCTTACTTTGTCCCGTAGAAGAAGACACGATATCGGGTAGAAGAGGAAGCCGAACCAAGCCTCGAAGCAGATCGTCTGTTGCAGTATTAGCCGCGCGCGCCGTCGCTGCCTGGCAAGCAGCATCCGCCTTCGACGATCCTTGGTGTTCCGCTGAAGAGTCTGCCTGAGAATAGCAGCCCAGCCTCCACCACTTCACGACCATCAACGAGTATGAAGGAGATCGAGTGGAGTTGGGACTGTATTAGACTGTGAGGAGTTGTTGTTGTTGTGTGTGTGGGGGTTAGCTCAGATACGTAGCGCCTAGCAGTCGAGGTAGTTGGCAGCCATGAGCAGCTCCATGGCGATCTCCGGCTCGATGTTAAACTCCGGCAGCCGCGACGTGCTGTCCGAGTACTGCGTCTTGTAGTACATGTACTGCGAGACCTTCTCCAGGATGGGGGCGCTGATGTCTGGGAACGTGATCTCGCCCTTGCTCTCCGTGAATTGGCCTGCTAACATATGCGTCAGTGTCGGCGTCTGCACTATCGTTATTAACCTCAAGTGAGCAATACGGACACGCACCGCTGAGCATGGCGCGGATGGTGCCCGACACCATGGCGCACTTCCTGCTGATGTAGATCTCGTGGCCTTCCGCGCTGCGACAAAACAAAATTCACGGTAGAAAATGACATTACGGAGTGAGCTCTCCCACCGTCGACGTTGCTTGCCACTGCCAGCGGTACCTGATGAGCTTGACCATGTCGAGCGCCGGGGCCGCGTCGCCTGCTTCCTGTGCCATGCTTCTCTCTTTCTCGCGCGCGCTACGCTCGACTTCGGGTGGTGTGTCGTCGACTTGACGCTAGGCGAGGCCGTTTCAAAACTAAAACTTGTCTGCATACATTAACCCTGTCAAACGTACGGTAATGAATGCAACCTTTCATCTTTTGGCCGAACATGGGGTGCACTATTGGGCAGCACAATAATGGACACCACTTTGCCAGCATTCGACGTGGCGGTCGCAGTCTTCTGTGCGCTGGCAGCGGCGGCGCTCCTGTCTAAGCTCTCAACTGCAGTGCGTGGAGGGCCCAGCGTGTTCCTGCAAGTGGTGCTCACCGCCCTCGTCGTCGTGCAGCTCTTCTACCTGTACCAAGCGTCCCGACACCAGCTCCAAGAGCTCCGATAACACGGAACGGAATAGAGAGAGAAGAACAACCTTTGCAGTGCGTCATTGTTATCAACCACGTAGCGGGTGGGGTGGAACCCCTCCCTTCCTCCTTATATGCAGCTTAGCCGGCCTGGTTCTTGAGCACCTGGAAGACCTTCTTCTTGATCCACTCCTTGCCGCAGGGCAGGTACGTCTTGGTCTCGAGGTCCAACACGAGCGCGGTGAGGTCCGTGAGCGAGTCGATGTACGTGTACAGGTCCTGGATGTCGTACGTGATGTTCTTCAGGTTCGGGTTCAGCTGCTTGAGCTTGGCCTCGTACATCTTGACCACGCCGTCCATGCCGCCGTTCACCGACTCGAAGTCCAGGTACGTGCGCGAGTTCGGGTCGCGCGTGTACTGCACCAGGATGATGGTGTGCTTGGCCTGTCGGAACTCCGCCTGCAGTCGCCCCAGCACACATACAAGAGCGTCAGCCGCTGCAGCTCACCTTACAGCCAGACCTACCAACGCCCTCACGGCCGTACCATTCTTCCTTCCGCCCTTGCCTGTGAGATCCCCCTTCCGAGTCTGTCTGACTGGCGGTCGAAAATTCCTGATTTGGGTCGCTGTGTGCGGCACACCAACTTCGTGTACGCCACACGACGATCTGCTCGACGGACGCGACCTTTTAGGATCCACGGCACGGCACGGCGTTGACCCCTCCGCGCACTTGACTGCGCGCGTGCTCCGATGGAAGGCCAGGATGACGCGCGCGGCGCCGCGGTGGGCAAGTCGGCCACGGTGCTGTTCGACGCGTCCAAGAAGGAGCAGTTCTACCCGACGAGCGGTCTCAAGAAGCTCGCGCGCAAGCTCAAGCCGCTGTGCCGCGTGGACGTCAACAAGGACGACCTGTCCCGGGACCGGATAAAGGACGCGAGCGTGCTGGTCTTCGCCGGCGTGCGCGAGCGCTTCAGCTCCACCGAGTTCGCCACGCTCAAGGACTTTCTCAACGGAGGCGGCAGCATCCTGCTCATGCTGGGCGAGGGCGGCGAGCAGACGTTCGACACCAACCTCAACGGCTGGCTCAAGGAGTGCGTGGCTCGCTCGCTATCTGGTGTAGTTGTGGTGACACTTGTAGCCTGACGCTTTGCTACTGTTTTTGTTGTTGCAGCTTTGGCATATTCGTGAACCCGGACGCAGTCATCCGGACGGTATATCACAAGTATCACCACCCGAAGGAGGTGCTCATCTCGAGCGGCGTCGTAAACAGAGAGCTAGCGCGCATGGTACTGCGTCATTTCTGTTTCATTGTGACATCTAACTGAGTGGGTCGACTAATGTTGGTATGGTGCACCAGGTGAACGAGCTGTACGGCAGGAAGGATTTACTGGCGTCGGGGCGTGATTCGATGGTCAAACCGACGGGTCCGGGTGGTGCGCTGGAAAAGGACCAGAAGGGCCTCACTTTCGTATACCCTTACGGAGCGACGCTGACAGTGAAGAAGCCAGCAGCTCCGCTTCTGTCTTCGGGCTTCATATCGTATCCGGTGAACAGACCAGTCGTTGCTGCGTGGCAAGAAGGCGGCGTTGCAACACCCGCGTCGAAGTCAAAATCAGGGAGGCTGGTCGTATTCGGCTCAGCGCAGTGCTTTGTGGATGAATGGATCGACAAGGAAGAGAACTCAAAGCTCCAGGAAATTATTTTCCGATGGTTGCTCAAAGATAAGGGCATCACGCTTAACCCCCAGGACGCCGAAGACCCGGATCTGAACGAGTACGTCCGGTTACCTGACACACAAGCACTCAGCGACCGATTGCGATCCTGTATGCAAGAGAGCGAGGAGCTTCCAAAGGACTTCACGAGGCTTTTCGACGACTCGCTCTTCAAGTTCGACACGTCTCTCATTCCCGAAGCTGTAAATCTTTATCGAGAGCTTGGTGTCAAGCACGAGCCTCTCACACTTATCCCTCCGCAGTTTGAATGCCCACTGCCACCGCTCAAGTCTGCAGTATTTCCGCCCGCATTGCGTGAGCCGCCTCCGCCAGCACTGGACCAATTCGATCTCGACGAGCACTTCGCTAGCGAGTCCCTGCGGCTCGCGCAGCTTACGAACAAATGCTCCGATGACGACCTGGAGTACTACGTGCGCGAGAGCGCCGATATCCTTGGCATCCTGCCGCGGCTCGATCCAGAGCGCAGCGATGCCAAGCACGTCCTCGAGTTTATCTTTCAGAAAATCGTCAACTTCAAGAAGCTCAACCAAGACACGGCCCCTGTTGTCGTTGGCTCCAGCGGCCTGAACACAAACACGAACGTGGAGAGCACAGGTAACTTAGCATCTACACGGGCGTCGTCCCTGGCCAACCTCGCAGAATCCAAGGAGTCGAAGCAGTCGACGCCGCCGCCAAGCAGCTTTCGAAACCGGTTGGATGATGACGATGAAGACGACGGTAAGGCCTCCTCGCCGTAAGACACGCAGTCTACTCCAGCCGCGCTCGGCACTATTGCGCAGGTTTAGTAGACAGCAGCAGGAGAGGGAGGCGTTGAAATGCAGTAATATGTTGGTGCAAAGCTAGTTTACTTGCGAGGCTTCTGGTAGACGGTGCTATTGCGGCCCAGCGCGTAGCCTCGCGCGCCTGCAAGCTCCGCTGAAGCTTCATGACGAATATGCTGCACATGCTCGTGGGAGCTCGCACGAAGCCGCGTCTTCGTGGCGGCCAGAACGTCTCCGAATTGTCGAGAGGCAACGTCCAGCTGCCGCTGTAACTCGCTCCGTTCCTGCCGACGGGCTTCGAGGCGTTTGCACATGGGCGTGTATCGCGCCATGATGTTGGCCACCTCTCGATCAATGTGGACGATCTCGCTCTCGTAGTGGTCCATTGCCGCTTGGGTGATCGCCTGCTTTTGCCGCATTGCAGCGACAAGCTTGTCCAGCTCACCGATCTGTACATACGCAAGCAAGAACAATTGGGTTAGAGGAAGCTTCGCGCACTAACGAACGATATCGGTCACGCACGCGAAGAGTGGCAAGCATCGACACGTCTCCTTTCTCCAACGCTTGGCGCTCCATGAGCGTCACTCGGGACGGCTTTGGGGGGCATAACGACAACGGGTTTAGTTGCGACAACAGACACGAGGTCAGGGCACATGAACGGGTGCTCACACTGCTTGGAGCGCCTGTAGGTTGAGGACCGGCAGCGCTCATGATTCCACGCAGCAACGACGACGCCAATTCTACTCAACTGCGCAGCAGCGGGTTATCAGCGCGAACGTCTTCGCTCTCCAGCTAAATATACGGCGCAGCACGTTAAATCCGTGCTTCCGGCTCAGTCCTCCTGCACAAGCCAAAGCACCAACTGGGACCGATTGCAACTGCACAGTTGGCTAACGCGTCGATATCGAGGGGGAGAGTATCTATTCACCGTGTTCCGTCCGTCTCCTACGTCGCTCTCGTTCGCCGGCTCAAAGTGCCACATGTAGCGTGTCTTCCCCACAGAAAAAAATATCTTCACCTCACTCCACGTCGACCTGGTCGGGACATCCTCATTCTCCGCTGCTGCGTTGCCTTCAACCCCCTTTAAACTATAGGAAAAGTGGGCGCTGGTAGAGCCTCCGCCCGCGTGCCTGCCGACTTGGAACTAACGTAGCGAGCCCGTCGCTTATCCGTACTGCAGGCGGAAGACGTCGTTGTGGATGTAGTACTGGCCGGGCTGGTGGGCCACGAGCTGGAACACCTGCGTGAACTGGATCGGGTTGTTCTCCTCGATCTGGATCTTGCCCTGCACGAAGATGATCATGGCGTTGCCCGACGTGGACGGCTGGATGTCCACGGTGGGGAACTCGTGGCGCACGGCCGGCAGTCCCTGCAGCTTGGCCATGATGGCTTGCTGGCCCGTGGACATCTGGCCCTCCCAGCTCATGTTCGACACGCCTTGCTGCAGAGAATTCAGACACGATGATAATGATACACACACTTAGTTACATGCACTGGGCTCTTCTCGGTGGGTTGGGCGACATGAGACGTACGTAGAGGCTGGCGAGCCCCGCCCGGTTCGTGTCGAACGTGGTGTAGTAGTGCTGCACGAAGGCCTTGGCGACGTCCTCGGCCGACATGGTTGGTCTCTCTCGCTGCGCTTTGCTTCCTCCCCGCCGCCTTTTAGACTGGCGCTGAGTATGCGCCAAGTATTCGTGGTGCGCAGGAACACACCGTGTTTTGGCATTTTGAGATCGGAGACGAACGCGATTGGGGGAAATGAATTTCAGCAAATTAGATCGAGGAGCCTTATCATTGGATGAAACTAAGCATGAAATAAAATGGCTACACTTGGTGGACACTTTGGTGCTTGTGCTCGGGGGCTCACAGCGCGCAGACCCGCTGGGACGCCAGAGCCTCCGAGGGGGCCAGATCTTCGCGCTCGCCGACCTCCGAGGACGCCGAGGGCGAAATGCTGGAGCTGCCGAGCAATCGCAGCTGCTGCAGGGCCAGGAACGACTCGAACAGCTCCCTGGACGCGTCGCACTTGGGGATCACATGGCCCTGCGTGTGCACCGAAGTCAGCACGCGGTTCTGGATGGTCTGGCAACCACAACAACAATGAAGTGTTAGTCTTCAACAGCTACATCTACGTGTAGCGGGCCCACTCGAGTGAACGCACCTCTTCCTGTTTAAATATGTCCACCACTTGCTGGCTCTTGGCGGCCGGAATGACGTAGTCGTTCGAGCCGAACACGTGCAGCGACGCAATGTCCGGGACCACACCCGATTCCAATGAGTACTGCGGGGAGCCCAGGTAGCTGCCGATGAGCACGGCCAGCTTTGGAGACCACTGCAGCTCAGATCGGGCCTGCACACAAGGATCCAGCAACAACAAGAGTCCGTCAGTTACTACTGCGCGCTCACACCCGAGCGCGCTTACCCCACGCACCTCGTGCGAGCACATCCACGCCGCGAGACTCGCCCCTTGGGAGAAACCGATGACTCCGTCCACGTCCCCGACCTCGTCCAGCTTCGCGCGCAGGAAGTCCAGCAGCACGTCGCGGTCTCCGTCCAAGCTACCGGGGTCCTCCTGGTGGATGCCCAGCGGCCGCCACCACGCGCGGAACTCGGTCGTCTTCTTGGCGCAGCGCACGCGCTTGGGCTTGCTGGGCGCGGCGGCGGAGAAGGCACTCGCGCGCTTGCTCTGGCGCGCGAGAATCGGCGGCACGATGGTAAAAGGTCCGTCCAGGAAGACGAAGTCCACGCTCGCGTCCGCGCCGCACAGCGGCTTGGTCTTGGCCGAGAACGTGGCCGCGTCCTGGTACATGCCGTGCAGACACAGCAGCCGCAGCTTGCGCTCCGTGCTCCGGCCCAGCAGGCGCGCCGCCGTCATGTTCGCGCTGCGGCACGAGCTCGGGAATGCCCTCCAAGCCAGCGCCTCCAGCAACCCCGCGATTTGTAGCTGCTCGGCCGTCACAGACACTTGTCGGGTAACGTCAAGTTTCTATAAATCGATATGCGAAACTGTCGTTTACTATCGGATCTGGACTGTGAGATTCTTTTTATTTGTGAGAATCGGTAGGGTAGCTTTTGAAGGGGTCGAAATGTAGATACCACGGTACGTACTTGCGACATCGACCTTGCCACGTCACGACCAATCACGTCGAACACGCCGTTTCTGCTCAGATCGCGACGGTCCCGAGGCCAATCGATCCGCGCAGCGAGATTGCCGCGCTGGCTCTGCGGCGGCAGGCGTTCGTTGCCTGCTCTCGTTGTTTTCTGGTATCGGCTAGGCTCGTGGCGTGGCCGCAGTACACAACACTCCATGCAGACTCGAGGTTGCGAGACGACCGCCATGCACTTTCAAGGACGCGCATGCGTCATGTTACCCTTGGCAGCAACGCCGATCTCCACAAATGTTCGAGCATGCGGTAATTCTCCTCACGCCGTTCAGTTTGACAAGAATCCGCGCCGCGTTTGAATCTGGAACCAAACAGTTCATGGCGGCATCGAGCATTACTCTGATCTGCTCGGCCGGTAGATGGCCGACTTGATGAACACTTCTTTCGATCTCGTGGTGGCTACGCTTTCAAACTTACATAAGTGTGCGTTCATCAGTGTTTCCAATCTATGCTGCTCCATTGCAGAGTGATCGTGCATCCTTTTTTTCTTTTAGTGGTATGTCAAGCTGAAGTGTCTAACAAAGCAACCACCTCGACACACGTAAAAACTTTCAGTGCTCTATTCGCTGGATCACCTGTGCAAGCCCATACTCAAAGCAATTTCGTCGCTGGTGACTACGTCCTGCGAGGAATTCGGAAGTCTGGGCCGTACAGATGCTCCAGGTACAATGTTCGTCGGGCTGGGCAGAGTACTCGAAAGTCGGCGAACGGACAGCTCAGAAGCGGAAACACGTAGTATCGTGGAATGAGGAGCAGCTTGGCGTACCGGTCGATCTGCAGACACTTGGAGCACGCGTGCCAACAGCTCGACGGGTGCGTTCCCAGCATTTCAACGCCGTTGGCCTCGGACTCGACAAACACGAACACGTCCACGTAGAAGCCGTAGGTCTTGTCCACGAGCCGAGCGGGGATGTTCCAGTCGCGGTTCCGGGCTCGATGGATCTTGCTGTCGTAGACCTGGAGCTCATACCCGTCGGGAACGGCCCAGTGCTTGTCCCGAAGCTGCTCGTACCCTTCCATCGTCATGCCAAAGTCGGCGTCGTCGTCCCATGGGATGACCGACTGCGTTCGGAATTGACCCAGCAAGGTGCCGCTGTCGACCCAGTAGTCCACGTCCCTCTTGTCGAGCATTGCACTGAAGATGCGGACGAGCTCGGTGATGGTCTCGGTGCGCTTGCGAGCAGTGACGCAGGCTTCTGGGCGGTAGTAGTGGCTGTCGATGTGGCCTTCCAGCTCCACACACCAGTAGCTGCGAATCCCCGAGGGCAGGCCACGCACCAGCGCGTGGTCCATCTCTGCAAGCTCCGACAACTGGCACCAGCATAGCGATGAGAGGAGCAGCGCGGCCAACGCAGCGACTGACCATCGCGAAGCTCCGCGACGCAGAGTAGGCCGCCACAATGGCCAAACCCGCTGCATAGCTGGCCTGACTAGACGACGTATCCGTGACACTGCACACTACGCAGAGAGACACAAGCGATGTTACAAGCCGCGACGCGTCCTCGATGCGGGCGATCACTTACCGAGCTGCAGCTTGGATACTAAAATGAAGGTTGAGTGCACAGACAGACGATCGCAACGCTGACATATCCACGGTTTGATGACTTTCTGCAGTGCAGGACCTGCACTGCTCACTCTGCTACCAATAGGTTCGACGCACAACAGGCCCCACGAGCTCTTCATGAACTCCTGGGATTATCTAGCACGACGCGTCCATATCGGCCAAGGCCGGCGTTCATTACCCAAGGTGAGCAACTTCCAACACTCTTTCAACAAAACCCGTAACATTGCTTCAACATTGCCTTCATCGGCATCGTTCTACTACTTCTTAGGTTCAAGCACCCCCGCTCTACACCGCGAGCGCCTCCGTGATATTGCGATAGCGCTCGCTGTCCTTCTCCGCCAGGTAGTCCGGGTCGTTGGCGACGCGCTGCCGCAGCATGGCCTTGAATTTGTTCTCGTAGACCTTGGTCATGCCGGTCTGCGCCAGCTGCGACACCAGGCCGTCGCGCAGCTCCTGCCACTGGCGGTTGTGCTCCAGCTGCGACGAGCGCACGGCCTCGTTGAGCATGTTGGCCAGCATCGTGCCCACCTCCATGTACACGTTCGGCATGGCTGACGGCTTCGTGCGATAGGAGCGACTGTGCGGCTTGGTCAGCACCTTGGCCGCGCTGGCCACGCGCAGCTTGGTGGCATCCTTGTCGATGGTCCTGAGCCAGTCTTGCTGCTCGGCGGCGGGCACGTGGCGCTTCACGAGCTCCTGCCACGACACTGGGGCCTGCTGCAGCGAGTTGGCGCCGCATCCGAACATGGGGTTGGCCCCGCCGTTGCCGCCGAACATTTGGGACATCATGGGCATCATCTGGGACATCATTTGGCCCAGGTCGGGCATGTTGGGCGCAGCAGGCGCGGCGCTGGGGGTCGCCACGGCGCCGCGGGCCCACGACGGCGGCACGGCGGAGGCCGCCGCTTGCTGCACGACCGTCTGCTGCTGCTCCTCCTCCGCCATCTCCATGAGCATGTCGTCCGCCAAGCTGTCCAGCATCTCGTCGTCCGAGAGGGACATGTTGTCCAGGATGTCGTCGCTCATCTTGCGCCGCGTTCCGACCGAGCCGAAATCTATTGTGACAGTTGACTGGCAGATGATTGACAGTTGTGGGACATATTCCACACTATAAGAGCGTTTCCTACAGTTGACGAGCACACGAAGCTGTATTAGGGGTTGTAGCTCCTGAGGAGCTACGCTGCGACTTCAACTACTTCTTGCCCTTCTTGGCGGCCTTGACGGGCTCGTCGACGACGACGATCTGGTCTTCGTGCACGCCGAACATCTCCGGCAGCACCTCCAGCAGCTCCGTGACGCAGTCGCCCTGCAGCTGGATCTGCTGCTGGCCCTGGTCCGTCTTCGACAGCGACGAGCTGCAGGCGAACTTCTTGCCCATACTCTTGCAGGCGTCCTTGATGTTGACGCCCTCGAAGTCCTCGAGGCCCGTGACGAAAGTGAGGCGCTTGCGGCCCTTGCGCGAGCTCTTGGAGATGGTCACCATGCAGTTCTCCTTGCGCTTGGCGGCCTCCTCGATCTTGTTCTTCTTCTTCTTCTTGACGGTCTTGCCCTCTACCTCGAGCGTGATGCCCTCCACGCCGTCGGCGATCTGCTGCTCCACCTCCAGCAGCTCGGCCACCGTGCGGTTGTATTTGGTGAGCACCAGGTCGGGGCAGTGCTCGGCCAGCCACGGCTTGCACTCGTTGAACATGGGGCCGTACTCGCAGTACTCCGGCGGGAACGTGTCAATGGGGCAGTACACCACGTTGCGCAGCTTGGGCTGGCCGTCGTCCTCGTCGTCGCGCTCCTCATCGTCGTCGTCGTCGTCGTCGTGGGCCGCGTCGTCCTCCTCGTCGTCCGCGTCGCCCGGCTCGGGACCGTACTTCTTGACCAGCGCGTCGAAGAGCTTGGACTCCTTGCCCTTGTACTTGGCCAGCACCTGCGGCACGTCGCCCACCTTCTCGGGGTTGTACTTCTGGTAGAAGGCCAGCAGGCGCTGGTGGTTCAGGTCCTTCACTTCGGTGGCGGCCACCTCTTCCTCCTCCTCTTCATCCTCGTCGTCCTCGTCCTCTTCCTCCTGCTGCTGCTGCGCGTCGAACTGCTCGTCCTCCGCCGGCTCGGGGCCGTACTTCTTCACCAGCGCCGAGAACAGCTGCGTCTCGCGGCCTTTGAAGCGCTCCAGCACGCCGTCGATCTCGTGCAGCTTGTCGGCGTTGTACTTCTGGTAGAAGCGCGTCAGGCGCTCGCGGTGCGGCGACATGGTGGCGGCCGCGGCAAGCTCTTCCTGCTTTGCCACTCGTTAGGGTTACCTCTGGACCGCGATGCTCCGGTATCAATATATACGGGTAAACAGACCTGATACTGTGAAACACGATGTAACGATGTATCAAGGTAGTTTTGAGTGACAGACAAGATATCCATAAATAACTTCAAAAACGAATATTATCTGATTCTGAGCGCGGTCGCTGATTTCTCGCTCCTGATTGGTGGCGAGACTATTGTGTCCCACACCAGCTTCATGCGGATTGGCTGATATCTTCAATTCCGACCGATGTTCCGCCCACAGTTCCAGAGTTCGCCTGCCGACCGAGAAGCTGGTCCCGTGCATGCGGTCGGCGTATCTCCGCGCCTGCTGCATCTCATCCATTGCCGACCCGTTCCCCTGGAAGCGGAGTTTCCCACGCCCAGCTGCATACCGCATTTGTGCTGCCTACGCCCACTACCGCCCTAGAGAATCGCAGTTGAAGCAGATTGACACATCCCCAAAATGCTCTGGAAAAGCTCCGACCTCGAGAGTTTGGACTATGGTGCGGACCTACAGCAACACTCACTGTTAATGCATACGGGCTATTAACGGATGTAACTGGCTGCTGCTGCTGCTGCAGACCTGTTCGAGAGCGTGGTGAACAAGTCGGGCATGGGCTACAAGTACCGCAACGGCCAGGAGAAGAACCGACTCATCTACGCGCGCTGGTTCCTCACGCTCCTGACTGGCCTCATCACGGCGCTCGTTGCAGTCTTCATGCTCTACTTCACCACTCTGCTCGCGTCGCTGAAGCAGCACCTGCTCGAGTACACGATCCGCCACGAGCTGGCCAAGCACGTGCTGTTCGGCACAACGTTCTGGAGCATCGTGGCGTTCAATCTCGGGCTCGTGGCGATCGCTGCGACTGTCACATCTTTCGGTGAGCCTGTTGCTGCAGGCTCAGGTACGTCAGTTGTGGCTTTTCGAGGTGAGACAGGGACTCAAGAGGGGCCGCTCACTTCAAGTGTGTTACGATTTGTTGCACTGCACTTGATGCCCCAGGCATCTCGGAGGTCAAGACGACTCTAAACGGCATGAAGATCCCACGCATGCTGCGCCTGCGCACGTTCTTTTGCAAAATTATCGGCACAGTGTGTTCCGTGGCCGGCGGATTACCAGTAGGAAAGGAAGGTCCCATGATCCATAGGTGCGTAGACATGCACGATTGGATTCCTGTCGAGAGCTAAGTGTGAATTGCTATTGTGTAGCGGCGCAATTGTTGCAGCGGGACTTTCGCAGGGTAAATCGTCTACTCTTGGGTACGACACAAGGTAAGAAGCTCTGGAATTGCTTAGTAGCACACTATGGACGAATTTATAATTGTTTACACTTTTGCTGTAGCTTTTCCTACTTTGCAGGTTTCCGCAACGATAGAGAGAAGCGCGATTTCGTGGCTTGTGGTGCTGCAGCAGGTGTTGCATCGGCATTCGGGGCTCCCATCGGCGGAGTTCTCTTTGTGTTGGAGGAAGGCGCGTCCTTCTGGAACCAGACGCTCACATGGCGAACACTGTTCTGCGCCATGTCCGCAACATTTACGCTGGCGTTCTTCCTCTCTGGGATGAATGATAATCTGTCGTGGGGAACGCTTGGCAGTCATACCGGAAGCTTCAGCTTCGGGCCGTTTACGTCGAGCACGTACCAGATCTGGGAGGTGCCGCTTTTCGTGCTCATGGGAATTGGTGGCGGACTGCAGGGAGCTTTCTTCAATGGTCTTAACACGCGTCTCGCGAGGGTGCGATCACGCTGGGTTCGAACTCGCGGAGTAGCGTGGATGGAAGCTCTACTTGTGTCCGTCCTGATCTCCTCACTGTTATTCTCGACTCCATTCCTGCTCGGCAAGTGCTACAACCTGCCCCAGGCTCGCGACGATGTCATTCATCTTGCAGATGCAGCCGCCGCGGCTGCAACGCCTAATAAGGCTTTTGTTTTCGGGATGGAAATACTGAAGAAGAACGGCTCAGCTTGCATTTGTGAGAGCTGTACGAGCGTATCGATGGATGGAGCTGAGTGTTTCCAAGCTGACGAGACCGTGCAGTACCCGTACAAGAAAGAGTTGGTGCGCTTCTACTGCCCCGAGGGCCAATACAACGACTTGGCCTCGCTGATGCTGACGGGAGGAGAAACAGCCATCAAGCACCTGTTTCACGCACCTCCAGACTCGTTCGATGTGCGCAACCTCGTCGTGTTCTGGCTCATGATGTTGGTGTTGGCATGCATCACGTACGGACTCAAGATCCCGAGCGGGTTGTTCGTGCCAGCCTTGCTCGTTGGAGCCGCGTACGGACGGCTGTGGACTCGAGTGATTAACTACTTCACGAGTGTGCAGCACATGAAGACGGTGGACCCACGGACGTACGGACTTGTGGGGAGTCTGGCGATGCTGGGCGGAGTGACGCGCATGACCATCTCGTTGACTGTCATTATCCTCGAGTGTACGGGTAACATCGAGTTCGGTCTGCCGCTCATTCTGACGTCGTTCTTCGCTCGCTGGGTGGGCAACTACTTCAACGAAGGCATCTACGATATCCACATCCACCTGCGCCACGTGCCGTTCCTGGACTGGGATCCGCCATTACGCGGCGCCTTCCTGCGCGTGAAGCACATCATGACTCCAAACCCGAAGACGCTGCGCACTGTGGAGCGCGCCGGAGTGATTTTCGACCTGCTGGTGAGCACGAAGCATAACGCGTTCCCCGTCATCGTGGAGGATCCAACTTTTGGCAGCCGCTTCTTCGCCGGCGTCATCCTGCGCAAGCAGCTCAACGTGTTGCTGAGCCACAACGACTTCAGCGTCGACAAGCCCAAGCCGTTCCACCGCCAGCCGCATCCCGCCTCCTACCAACCGGACGTGACGCCGACAGGAAATCTACGCCACCGTCGTCCTAGAGACTTAGAAGCGAACGACACCCCGCGCGTGGATGACAAGCTGCTGGAGTCGCCTCTCGCCAGCAACTACTGCCTGTCGTACCACGATATGGAGGCGCATTATCCGCGATACCCGATCCCGACTCCGATGCATCAGGACTTCCTCGCTGCAGCTCATGCGGGTCGCGTCGCTGGCGACGAGTTGTACACGCTGTCGGAGGAGGACCGCGGCCTGTGGGTCGACCTCACGCCATACATGAACCAGACGCCGTACTTGATCCAGGAGGAGGCTCCTTTCGTGCGCGCCTACCGCCTCTTCCGAAGTGCCGGTCTCCGCCACCTGGTCGTCGTGAACCGCCACAACAACGTGCGCGGCATCATCACGCGGCGAGAGCTGGAGGAGGAGCACTGCACGCGCTGCTTCCGGCTGGCCAAGAACATCGACACGGACGACGTGTATCCGCTCTCGGGCGCCCCTCCTGTTGGCTTCTTCCGCAAGCTGCGCCGCAAAGTGTCTCGCACCGAGCAAGTCAAGCGCGCACTGAGCAACTCGGTCTCAATGACCCGTGACGACGACTTGGACGGCAATGAAGGAGGCACCGCCCTGAACGAGCTGCTCCCACGGTAAGATATCCCATGCAGTGCAGACCCAGCAGAATAAGTAAGAGCTCGTTGAATAGACTGTATTCGCCACCATTGCCTCGGTCTCCGCTGCAGTCTCCACTGCAGCTCGTGTGCACACGTTTTATACGCACAACGACGTTAGCTCGAGATATTTTCTAGCAGCGACCATGGTCAGGAAGAGGAAGGCGACGACGACGAACGCTTCCTCAAGCCCACCGCCAGGGTCCGGGGCCTCCGACCAACTCCATGATGCAGTGAAGACGCCGGCCATTGTGCCGACGTCCACGCAAGTGTCGTTCAAGGAGATGCAGCGGCTGCACGCCATGCGGATGGAGCTCTTCGGCTTCGGGGGCTGGCTGGCCTCCGCGCTCTTCTACGGTGCGTGAGCTTGAAGCAGAGTGTATCCATGCAAGGCTGATGGTGTTGTCCCTGCAGTGTTGTTCTTGGTGTGGGCGTACGTGCCCGAGGCGACGCTGGAAGCCTACGGGTTCACCTACTTCCCGTCCAAACACTGGGCGGTGGCGGTGCCGTCCATGATCGTCGTGACCTACCTCTTCTCGCTGGTGCTCTACAAGGCAGTGAACCTGCTGTCCACGCCTGGCCTCGGGTCCTACGCGACCATCCTCGACACGCACACGGTGCTGCTGCCCGAGGGCACCGCGTGCTTTGAAGACGACACGGAGGCGACGCCCGGGATCGGGGATATCTCCATCTTTGAAGTCAACCGGCACTTGTTCTCGTCGGCCAACGAAGACATGCAGGTCAACGAGGAATAGACGAACGCAACACTAGCAAGACGATATAGAAGTTGATCCTACGTGCTCGTGACGCTTCCGTTCCCTTTAGTTGATACGACAACACCGAGCCGTCAACTCGCCATCTACTGTTTGCTGGGGGCGCGATGCATCTACAAGCCCATGGCGTACTTCATGATCTGGTTCTTGAGCGGCTCCACGGCGTTGAGCGAGCCCATGCCAACGTTGCGTGCCACAGACACGGCGTCGGGCGTGGGGCCGAACATTCGCTTGAAGCCGTCCATGGCCAACTGCATGGTGATGTTGGCCTTCATACGCTCGTCCTCGTACTGCTGGAGGAAGTACTCGCTCGAGAGGTTCTCGCCGCTCTTGACGCCCTCAACGAGCAGATCGCTCAACGCCTGAACGTCGCCCAGGCCAAGGTTCAGGCCCTGGCCAGCCAGCGGGTGGATCGTGTGCGCGGAGTCGCCCACCAGAGCGAGACCCGGCTTGATGTACTTGGTAGCGTGCTTCAGCTTGAGCGGGAAGGCGAAGCGGTGGCCGACCGTGGCCACGGCCTTGGGAGGGGCGACGAACGGGTCCGAGAGGGCAGCGGCCGACATGATGGTGCTGGCGGCGTGGTGCACGCCCTTGACCAGGTCCGAGAGCACCGGGAGACCCGGGAACTCGGGCGGGACGGGCGTCGTCGACGGGGCGGAGTAGGCGTCGTTGAGACGCGCCACAAACTCCTCGGGGCTGAGCGCCGTGAGCTCCTTGGCCATGTCGGCCGAGCACGACCAGACCACCGACGAGTAGCCGTCGCGCATGGGCAGCAGCGCCACGGGGCCCGTGGGGTAGAAGCGCTGCCAGGCCGTCTCGTTCACGCGGTCGGTCTTGACGGTGGCCACGACGGCCTGCTGGTCGTAGTCCCAGCCCCACGTGCCGAGCGCCGAGAGCGTGCGGATGATGGAGTTGCCGCCGTCGGCGGCCACCACGAGGTCGGCCTTCATGCGCTGGCCGTCCTCCAGGCCGATCTCCGAGATGCCCGAGACGGACGTGGGGCGCTGGAAGTGCTTGACCTTGGACGGGCAGTAGAGCTTGAGCGGCGCGCTGTCGTCCTCGATGGCGGTCAGCGCGTTCATGCGGTCGTGCAGCGCGCGCACCAGCACGCGGTGCTCCAGCACGTGGCCGAGCACGTCCTTGCCGGCCTTCTTGGCGTCGAAGCGGATGAAGCCGTCGCCCATGGCGTCCCACGCCTGCATGTCCTTGAACACGGAGCGGTGGCCGTCGGACACGAGGTCCCAGGCGCCGCAGCTCTCCAGCAGCTTCTGGCTGGCGGGCGTGATGGTGAACACGCGCAGGTCCACCGAATCCTCCTCCACGGACGGCGCGACGGGGGCCTCCGACGGCTCAATGACCGCCACGCTCTTGCCCTTGAACACCGGGTTGCTCTTGAGCTGGCAGGCCAGCGCGGAGCCCACGAGGCCGCCGCCCACGACCACCACGTCGTAGTGCGGCACCTGCGGGTCGAACGGGGCCGCTGCGGTGGCCAGCGAACGCGCCGCCAGGGCGCGCGAGCAGCGCAGCGAGCGCGTCGACAGACGCGCGACGGAGGAGAGCACCATGATGCGGAGCTGGGGAAGGGAGCTGCTGCTGCTAATTCGACTGCGTAGCTTTTGCACCGAAGTCTGTGGTCAAGAAGTTGAGACCAACCGCGTACTGTACAGCTTCGGCTAAGTTCGATAAAACCCTGTCAAAATTCAGAGTGATGGTTGTGATTCAGAGTGATGATTCTGATCGGTGCAACATAATCTGTGTACTTAGGAACCGGCTACATGTAGCCCGAGCAGGAGTGCTTGTTGTTCTGTGTACAAACAATGACACAGACGATAATGACGGCAAATGCGATCGCGTTTCCTGCAAGCACTTCCATCACATTGCGTGACCTGCATGAGCGGCTTGAAGGTCTATTCACTCAGAGACTGCATTGGAGAGTTCAAAAGTTGATAGACCGAGCATTTGAGGACCTACCGGAATATGGATATGGCGTTCGTATCTACATGCCTCAACATCAATCCTGACTGCGAAGGCAGGACGCACGCAACTACGAAGCCGAGCGCGGGGTGACAATGGGCTTTTTCATTAGTTCACTGGGACCTTCTTATCTTCATCAAAGCAGTTATAATACGAGAAGCGCTATCCTATCGAAACTATCCGCTATCAACAGTCAAAAGGGGGCAAAATATAAGGGAGAAGCAGTCGAGCCTTCTCCCCTGCTTACTAAATACCGATGGGATGCTTGGCCACTTCACCCGATCAGGGGGCAGCTCGGAAGGCGCAGCGCGAAGTCAGCTGCACATATACTACATCCGTGGCAGCATGCGCACGGGTGTGAGGGGATCAGGGAGGGCTCGGACAAATCTACACGGCGACGACGGGGGCGGCTTCCACAGGAGTGGCGGGCTCTGTCGAACTGCTAGCACTAGTTGCGGAGCTTGCAGCACAGCTAGCGGCTGTTGCAGCGACAAGCATGCAGTCTGACGACCCGGACACGTCCGAAGGTGACGTCCCCATCTCTAGCAGGTCGCAGCTCAGCGGCGAGTCGAACGAGTCCACGGCGTACGGCAGCTCGTTATTCTCGTCTGAGCTTTCGTCGTCGCCCAGGATGCAGTCCGACGCGTAGTCGATGCTAAGGTCGTCGTATGTGCGTGTGTTGATGGCGTCGTACGCGTCCATGTCCTCCATTGCGAAGCGCATCTCAGAGTCCACGATCATGTTGCGGCTGCTGCCTCCGAAGAAGAAGTCTTCGTCGCCGCTGTCGTCTACGTGCATAATGTCGTCGCCGTCCTCCTGCTGCATCATCATCTCCATGTCGCCGTCTTCCATAAGCGGCACCTCGCCCAGTCCGTACTGGTACATGAGGTCGTACTCGTTGGACTCCCACCGTTCCCGGTTGATACGGAGCGTCTCGCGCTCGACGTGGCTGATAATAGAGATGGAGTGGCCAGCGTTCTCGAGGATGTCTAGTCTCTCCTCGGGCTCCAGATAGCCCAGCTCCATGTACTCCTGGCGGTCTACGCGCTGCATCAGACGCTCGCTCTCGTACGTGTCCAGCGGGCGCTTGGTGCGGCGACGCACGTCTGCAGACATGCCGAGCTGCGGTAGCAAAGAGGGACAAGCACAAACATTAGATCTTTGCTGGAGCATCCCCCTCATTTAACACAGAGGGGACTTACCGGCACGCCCTCAGAGGATACCGTGGCGGTCCACATGGTGGGCTCGAACTCGACGACGTCGGCCACGTCGAACCGCACGCGCTTCGTGGTCGGCCGCTGGGCGTCCGCCGCTGCGGCCTCGGTCTCAGCTGCAACGTCGTCGGTCTGGGGCTTGGCGGTCTCTGCCACGGCGGAGTCGTCGTTGTTGTCCTCGTCGCACGGGGCCTCGCCCTGCGGCTCCTCCTCGACGAGCTTCTGCTTGAGGACGGTGGCCGGCTCCAGGGCGGGCGCGGGTGGCGCGGAGGCTTCAGCGAGCGGCGCCATGGTGGCGGTGTGGTATTGTGCTGTGGCCAGTTCCAGCGGCGTCCGTCTTTGCGCAGAGGTCCTTGGGACTTCCAGCGCAAAATGTATTGTGCGAAAGAAAGCCATTCTCTCTGCCTCTTCTCTGCGCTCCCACTCTGCAACGAACTAGATCGCATACCCTGTGAAATCGAATGTGATGAATGGGTAAAACCAAGTAGATTTACCTTTTGAGATAAAGTACCCTTCGATATACGACCCTTTTCTCCCGTTTTCGTGTTAAGTCAGCCACACTGTAGTCATGTCACAAATCGACCAATGAGAAACCGCTGAGAAGGCCAGCTTTTCAGCCAATGCGCGTTTATTATAGCCTTTGGGAGCCCGCACTGGGCATGTCTCCGGCTGCAGCCATCTTGCCGCTGCACCGCCTTCAAGGTATCCGCTGCGCGGCACTCGGCTCAGCTAACCAAGGAGCAATGCTGTTGAAGCCCATGCCATGGTGTTGTATCTGTTGCTCCCTGTCCGTTGAGCCGAGGCCAGTTTGGGGTCCAGCGTCCAGCGCCACCCCAAGCACTCCACGCCGCCACGATTTCAGCGCGGACGATCGCCAGGCTGCTATAGCTGCAGACCACACACATAGAGCGCGGTGGTTTCGCGGACTTGGTGGCGAGGTCTTAGCTGAAGGAGCAAAAAGCTCAGTTTACTGAAAAGCACGTGGCCGGTTACGACTATTTTCGCCGGGAGCAGCAGGAGTCAGAGCGAGTAGCCAGCGCCGCTTCAACTTGTCCGCTGTTGCGCCTCGCCGTCGACTTCCAGCACGAAGATCGCGTCCGACAGCACGTAGTATGGCTGCTGCATGTCCCCACGGCACAAGTAGGGCACGCGACTGAAGTGGCGCAGCTTGAAGCCCGCCGGCAACAGCACGTTGCGCAGCAGAAGGCTCGCCGCGACCTCGAAGGACGCGCCGTCCGCGCAGAGCCCACCGCGCATCGGCAGCTTCTCGGTTGGCGCCACGCGCTGTGTGCCCACCTCCACGAACGCGGAGAACGGCAGCACCACCGCCAGCAAAAAGAGACCGTTCTCCGTGTGCAGCATCTCGCGGATCTCTCTCAGCATGGTCAGCGGCTTGTCGGCGCGGTCGAGCACGTTGAGCATGCTGCAGTCCACGAGCAGCGATCCATCAGATTAGTCGTGACGAGCACGCAACGTTGCGCGTCAAAAAAAGGGTCGCGTCTAAGATCCCAACGCGGCGACGCACCTGATAATGTTGTAGGGCTTCCGCGACTGCACGAATTCGTGCTGCAGGTCGCACGTTTGTACGCTGTTGTAGCCCCGCGCGTTGAGGTGAGCCACCATGGGAGCCGACGCCTCGGTTGTGGTCACTTGGTCCACGAGCGAGGCCAGCGACGCCGTCACGTTTCCGTCTCCGGCTCCGATGTCAAGCAGCGATCCGCCACCTCCTGCCACAGGCACTTCGCGATGAAGAAGCTGCTGCACTTGGGCGCGCGAAAGCACGAACATCTGACCACCTACAATGTGCCGCGCAACGAATTAATGGAGACATGACCGTGAGCCGGGAGTCGTCCAGTGCGGTGCTGCAATGGGATGCAGCGTTGGTGTCGATCGGTGGTCTCACTTACGCCCTAGAATTCCGTTCGCGTCGGTGAGCGAGTAAAAGAGCCCGAGGATGGTGGAGCCCAGCGACTCCCACAAGCTTCCCCCAGTGCAGGTCTACAGCCAGTAGCGAGTGAATCACACCGCCGCGATGTACAGCACTGAGGGATAGTACATAACAATCGAGAATAAATACAGCGCTAACACGTACATCCAGGAATGCTTCAGTCTCTTGGTCGCAGTCCAGCTGCACAAACGCCGACCGTAGAGCGGGGTCTCTGCGGGACGATCGCAATATCTGTGAGTCACCGCTGGTGATAGGCAAGGTAAAACTACCACTAGAAGCGCGAGAGCATCTCACAGCAGCGTCGTGTCCACTCCGTAGTCCAGCCTTGGCCCGAAGTGCGGCGCGCGAGCGCGCTTCGTCGCCTCCCTCACCCACATCTTCATCTTCGATTTCGGGAAAATGATAGAATCTGACGGTATACAAACGCTAAAATATAAAAGTGTAGCCATCTCGACGGCGACCAAAGGCTGTCCTCATGGACATAAGACTATCCTCAACATCTGAAGGAACGTTGATTCATTCATACTAGCAAAATTTCATTCCAAGTTACAGGTCGAGGTCGATTTCGCACGGGTCTGCGGGTGCCGCCGACTCGGCTTCTGTTGCTACTGCCGCCGAGCTGACATTAGTGCTATCGCTGGGGGTGGCGGCGTCGGTCTCCATTGGTTTCACATCGTCATCGTTCTCTTCGTCGTCGTCGTCTTCGTCCAGGTCAATTTCGTTGGGGTCCTCGACCGCCGCCGCAGTCGTGCCACCGCTGACGAACGGCGCAGTCGCGACGTGCGGGAGCTTGAGCAGCTCCAGCAGAAGATCTGTTTGAGGATTACCGGTCACGAGGACGGGTCCTTCCTCTTCGCCGTGACCTGGTGCTGTCTTGACAAAGTCGGTGATCCACTCACCTTCGGCCTTGTCGAGCTTCTTCTCCGCGATAAACTCCTGCAGGCGCTGCTTCACCCACGCAATATCCTTGTCCTCGATTTTCATCTCTTCCTGGGGCACGCGCGGCGCAAACTTGTTGGACGAGGCCAGGTGGTGCGTGGCGCGCAGAATTGCGAGCCATTCCAGGTCGAACATGATCTTAGGCGGCGGTCTCGAGCTCGGGCTCCGGCTTGTGTCATCTGGCTTCTCTTCCTGGGTATCGTCTTGCTTGTCTCCGTTCGTCGCCGGTGCAATCACTGCTTCGTTCTTCTGTTCTTCGGCCGACGAAGCTTCTACGATAGTGGCGGAAGTGGCTAAGTCCAAGATTTGCATGAACTCGCGGCGCGGGAGGCACTTGTCGAGGGCCAGAAATTTGGTCGTTGCCGGCTGCGACGGAGGCTTTGGTGCTGCCTCTTGCTCTTCCTTATCGTCCGCCTTCGCTAGCTCAGCACTGTCACCATTGGTTGATGCATGGACTGCGTCGGTTGTTTGCTCCGGGTGCACAACGATGGCGGCAAACTTCACGTGCAGGTGCGCGGCGAACCAGTGCTGCGGACGCAACTGGTACAGTAGAAACTCGCCCGCAGGACTGCCCAGCGTGTTGGTCCTGATCTCCTGCTCGAAGAATGGCTTGCGCCGCAGCAACTGGGGCACGTTGCCGTGCTGCTCGATTCCGCGCGGCCAGTCGTGCGACAGGAACGCCCCCAGAGGAGTCTTGTCCACCTGCTGCACGTGAGAGAGCTGGAAGACCTCGAGCTCGCGCACGTGGTACACGCTTCGCATGGTGTTGTTGTCGAAAGGCATCGACTCGAAGCGTCCGGCCGTGTAGTGCTGCTGCTTGTAGATGCCCGAGAGTCCAGCGATGCGCAGCCCCGCCACGTTGATGACGCCCGCTGCGCCCAGGTAGAACATGTTGGGGGCCACCCAACCTCCGTAGTGCAGCTCCTGCAGGTAGCCCGAGGCTTCGTGGTTGCCGCCGACGAACACGGTGAGCACGGGCGCCGTCTTCTCCTGCTTGTAGTAGCGGTGGAAGGCGTGCAGCGCGCGGTACTTGGGCGGACACGCCAGCGTGTCCAGGTCGCGCATGTTGCGCATGCACTCGAAGTCGCCGCAGCACAGCAGCAGCTCCACGGGGTGCTCCGGGTCCATCTCGTTGACGAAGTTGATGGTCGCGTAGATGTCGTCCAGCAGCCCGTGGGCGCAGCCCACCACCGCGACGCGCACCATGGTGATGCCAATGATACCGGAGCTCCTCGCGGATTGGGTGGATTTGGGTGGTAGTAATACGGGTAGTAAATCACGCGAGATTATTAATACCGTTGTCACTACTGCTACTACATTATCAGTGATGCGTTATCACTGTAAACATGTTCACAATGCACGGAAAATGCTATTGCTATGCAGTTTCTCTGGCAACGCTCCATTCGACGTAGAAGACTTTCGCGTGTCGAGTTAGCTATTAGCGTATACCAGTGTGGAAGCGAGCTATTTCAGCTGTGTGTGGTAGCGAGGTATTTCAGCTTTACCTTAAGCTATTGTACGCTTTCAAATTGCAAGAGTGGTCGAGCCACGAGGTCTGACACAATGCACCTTAAAAAGTTGTTATACTAAGTAGTTATTTTTGCGTAGATTCTGAAATGGGGTCATATTTGAACACATGGTCTCGGAAGTAGGTCCAAACGATCAGTTCTCCAGAGAGCACTCGGCTCATGCTCGAGATGGGACGACGTCTACGCCCATGCCCACAGTCATGTGGGGTATTGGCTGGACTGAAACCACGTCGAGAACTCCTTGAAATTTCCAACCTTTAAGCTATTATATAGCTGTCTCCGAGAAACTTAGCAGCACTGGTGAATTGAGACGACCGCCGACAAGGTCATAGTCATTAGCGAACTACGTTTTTAGCGACAACAACAACGTACTTCACTGAAAACTGAGAACTTGATAATATTAGAAATTGCGATTTTGTTTTGCGCCGTCTCGACATTTTCAAAATATTTTGTTGTAAAGAGGAACGCACCTAGTTCGTGCTAAGTTTCGAGTCTCAAGTCGAAAATCACTACGACCACTGACCATGGTAAGTCTGTTTTATCGTCTAGTCCATTTTAAGTTGTCCCCTAGTCGGTACGTCCATGGAGACTATCCATAAACTTGCGCCATCGTTCTGCTCTTTCTATCAATCGCGCGTTGAACATTTTGCATTCGTGGAGTTTATTGGTCAATGTGCATGCACCCAGAATTCCATACAAAACGGTAGGTTTGCTCGGCGTTTCCACTTTTATCAATATTACTGGCGCATAACAACACAACTACTAGTAGTTTGATTCTACAATTCTGACGCTTGTCACTTGTGTTCCTCTTGCGATGGAGTGGTGCGCTCAAGCCAACTCTATCTGTTTTGTGTCGAAAAACGTACTAATACTTTGTATCAGTAGTACTACAGTATTTAATAGTAGTATGGTAGCAGTAAAGATACTATCTCAAGTATGAGATACTATTCTGGTCACAACACGATGTTATTCATAACCCTTTTGAAATGAAGTTGTAGTAGACTGCGCTCAGCCTGATGTTTCCGCTGTGGGGCTCTGCGGCCATTGCTAGTGAGCCGACGAGCACCGCATATTGTGACAATGGCAATGGCGCTGGTGCCGACGATCTACTTGCGCAACGAAGTCAACATCGCCTGGTGTATCTGCAATTAGCCCAGCGTTTCGGGCGGAATTTTGCCCCAGGATACTTCAGTTTTCCGCAATGCGCCTATTCCGTCTGTGCTGAGGCACACGGATACCTTGGAGATACCTCCTGTTTTGGTGTTGTGTTTTGCTGGCAACGAGACGCAGAGAACCGCGAACACACTTCAGTGCTGCAGCGTGAAGCTCACGAAGCGGTGGTCCTGCGTCTTTTGAGGCGCTCCTTGCTAGTGTTGGTAGGCAATCGATTACCTCTTGGCAAGAATGCAAAGACCGTCTTTGTGTGACGAACCATCATCAGGCATGAATGATTTCCCTCTCTTCTGCAGTTTTCCGAGCACATTTTCACCTGTAAAGGCCACTAACTATGGGAGCAACCGATTCAGTAGTCCGAACCTGGCCCTTTTGCAAGCATGCAACCCCGAGATAGGCAGTATCAGAGACCTTGAAGTTCAGTGCGCGCGGCTAGGCGAAAATGTTCTTCGCTAAAAGCAGCGCCCCCATTGGTCGAAAGCGCCTTCCAATCCGTCATGATTTATCTTATCCGTAGCAAATTAGGCTAAATCGGGCTCCGATAGGACGCGCGGAAAAACACGTAGAAGCGCGCCCTCTTTGAAGCGCGCGCGGGCGCCGCTTGAAGCTCTAGCGCGACCATATCGCAATTCGCTTCAAGGCCCGCAAGTAGAAGCAGAGACCGACTGAGCAACAGATCTACAGAGATGGTGTCCTCGCCGCTGCCCTCGTCGACGCTGGACGCGCTGGCGCCGCCCTTCTATCCGTCCATGACGTGGTACCCGGAGATCACGGACGACTACTACCTGGAGCGCCCGCACTCGCCCGGCAAGTCGGGCTTCGTGATCGCCGACCCCGTGGAGCCCGTGCAGGAGATCCCCGACGAGGAGCTGTTCGACCCGGCGTTCTACCCGCTGACGGCCTCGGAGATGCTGGAGCTGGAGCAGGTGGACGAGATCAACGAGATCCTGGCCGAGCTGGACCTGATGGAGAACCACCAGGAGCTGCACTACAAGCTCAGCGAGAAGACGCGCGAGCTGCGCTCCAGCTCGGACGTGGACGCCGAGATCTACAGCATGATGGCCAAGGCCGCCAAGGCCAAGAGCTTCTCCGCCTCCAAGCAAGCCGTGCATCTGCACAAGAAGAACAGCTTCCACGCCAAGAGGAACATGCGCTCGTCGCTGCACCAGCCCCGCTCGGTGAAGTAGAGCCGTCCACACGTCGACCACCTTTTGACGTGCGGCGGCACTGTTACAACGCAACGGAGTGAGTGAGCAACGCGACGAGCGGCCGCAGTGTCTGGACAGATCAAGGCACCCGCGGCCGGCCCCATCCAGAACAAAAAATACGGAAGAAACTCGCGCTCCATCTGACTCAAACGAAAACAACAAGAACAACAACAAGACCAGCTAGCCAGACCTAACGCGTGCGCCCGCCATTGGTACGACGTACGCGAGCTCTGGCGACACAACTACAACTCATACAACCAGCGGACAACTCGTGCTACGGAAATGTCAGCAAGAAAAAATACCAAGTAGCAAGAAAATAGTTAGGACGAGAGAAGAAGAAGCACGGCATGAAGACGAGCAATGAGCGAGGGAGCGGCGCGACGATGGGACTGGGACTCGAGCTCCTGCGACCAATGGCATCCGATTGAAGGCAAGCCGACCCGAAGCAGAACTCCAAGGGACTCTCCACCCACCCCATCGCCGACGTCCGTGAAAGCGGCGTTTACTGTGAATCACGCAGTACGAGAATGTACCAATATCCCAGAAAAATTATAACTATATGTAAGATGGAGCGAGTTTTTCAAACAAACGGCGCGGGTTGTATTGCATTGATTCAGCTTTCTGTGCGAGCCAACTCAGACGTGCTCAAGCGCTCGATGCGACGTTAAGACTCGCCAACGTTTCAAGACTCGATGGTGCAGACCAACGCAAAGCAATCGCGCGACGATCTTCAGAGCCCAAGCTTCTGATACGATCGAGGTTGATCTCCTCCGCGTAACTCTTCATCGCCGATTCGTTGTCCAGATAGGTTTCAAGCAGTTCACCCCTTCCAATTTCGCTGGTCCCTGTCGCTAATTGGGATTGACATTGAAGATCAGGAGCGCTCATCCGGCGACGACGACATTGACCAAGACGGCGCCGGACCATGCGGAGGAATTGCATCAGTGAGTTTGCTGCCATGTTGTGCAGTGAGGTGGTGATGATCTCAAAAACGATGAAAGGATGTGATTTGGATGGACTCGTGGATGCAGCCAGGTTACTTCAGGTCACCATTGGATGGATGGAACAAGTTGATATCACTCATTTTATTTAATGCGCAAGGGCAGCTCAGTCTTCACCTCCTCTGCGTAAGCTACGCAGCCGGAAGAGTGTACACGGTGACATCAAGCGAGCCCTTGATCGCCAGAGTGAACCGTACGTGACATCGAATGGGTCGTCCACCGTCTTGAGGTCGAAGCGGCTGAAGAGCACGGCGGTGGCGATGCGCATCTCCAGCAGAGCGAAGCGCATGCCGACGCACTGGCGAGACCCGAGATCAACGTGCCGAACTTGAACGGCGACACCATCTTGACCTTGCCGGTCTCAGCGTCGATCCAGCGCTCGGGCTTGTACACCGAAGCGTCCTCGCCCCACACACTCGTCATTCGAGCGGTACACCCAGCCGGCACGAACGTTCCATCGCTCAGTGTGACCGACTTGTTGGGCACACGGGTGGTCGCGATAGCGTGCAGACGGAGGCTCTCCTTGACTACCGCCTCCAAATTCGGCATGTCCTTCAAGTCGTCCATGGTTGGGATGTCGATCTCACCCGTTACGAGTCCCGGGAGCTTCTCGTTGATCTCCTTGCGTAGCTTGGTCAGCACGTCCGGGTACCGGTTCAGGTTGACCAGAATCCACGCCAAGCTGAAGTCGGTAGTGTCCTTGCCGGCAAGCAAAAGTTCATGCCACATCCGTGTCGCTGCTGAGAAGCATGAGCACGTCCTTCTTGTCTTTCTTCGACTTGTCCTTCTACATCGACTTACTCATCACCCGGTGCGTCAGCTCGTGCACGATCGCGCAGGCTTGCTTGAGCTTGTGTTCATCTCCGATGTTCAGGAACCGCTTCAGCTTCCACACCCACGTGGGCGACAGCAGCCGCGAGCCCAGCATTTCTGCCATCACATCCACAGCCTCGTTGAAAGGGTGGTCGTTCTCAGCGTCCGCCAGCCCGTTCAGGTCGACGCTGAACGCGATCTTGGTGAACGTGTCGCCCGAAAACGTCCCGATCACAGAATTATCGTCCTCCGTTGGCTTACGCTTGTAGACTACAAGTTGTAGTAGGTGATATCTAATCCTTCAGAGACGTAAACCTCGTGAAAGACAAATCGTTTCAGCAAATGAAGACGAAGTTTGTAGTTTTCAACATCTTCTTGCACGATTTGGCTTGTTCTCGATCACTACAAATGTTGTATCAACCATAGCTGTACGCATGTCGTCAATTATTCGGCCAGTTAATTCTACCAGCCGAGTTAAGTGTTCGACTTCGTATTCATTCATTGCTTCATCGGGCTCCCAGCTATCTTCAGGAAGGAGTTCCTCGTCAAAGTCGAGACGATCCCACTCGGCTAAGTCGGCTACTAGCCTAGTCGTCGGCCGCTCGCTGAGTCCCGTGACCGCTTTCAGACGTGACACATGTATCACAGGGTAAAAACGGTATCCGCTCTTGTCCGGGAGCTCGAGCTCGTAGGCAAACTCCTCCACCTTCTTCTTCACTCGGAATGGCCCATGCCATCGATGTGCTAACTTCTTGGTCAAGCCAGGTCTGACTCGTTCCATGAACAACCAAACTTGGTCACCTTCCTTGAATAGTGACTTCCTCGACTCGGCTAACTCGTCACCTTCCTCAGTCGACTCGGCTGCTCCCTCGGGTGAGTTCGCTGGGGTATCCGTCCCTTCCTCCCCGGCTGGGACAGCTCTCCGCTCGACTCGGCTGAGTCCGTCATTGTGTTCCTTCGCTCTCCGTTTCTTCTCCTTCAACTGGAACTCGGCCGTAAGCTTCAAAGCCACCTCTCTCTGTCGGTTTGCTTCCCTGCGCCATTCGGCTGCCCCCGTTGAGTCAGCTGAGTTGCCCCTGCCGAGCCTGACTGACTCGGTCATCGCCTTGAGTGTAGACCGAGCGTCCCATCCGTGTACCAGGTCTCCCGCCGAGTCGAGTCTCTCGAATTGTTGATGGCATGGACGAGCTTCTCGGCTACATCATCCCAGTCGGCTTGGAGAGGGTCTTCCACGCACACACGCACAGTCTGGATCATGGTCTTCACTGAGCGTTCTTGCTGACCGTTGGCTTGTGGTCGGTAACTCAGCGTCGCTCTCGACTTGGACTGCATCATCTCCGAGAACTTCTGGAACACTTCACTCATGAACCGGGGATCTCTGTCGTGGCGTACCAGTGATGGAGCTCCAAACCTCCGGAACACGTTCTCTTCGAAGGCCTTCGCTACCTCAAGTGCCCCAGTCTCACTCATTGCCTTAGCAATCACGAACCCGGTGAAGTGGTCTAGAAACAACAGGAGTGCAGTGTTGCCCCGCCGAGTCTTCGGCAGTGGTATGACAAAGTCCATCGATACCACGTTGAAGTCGCTCAGACACTACGTTGCCAGGTGAATAGCCCTTCAGGTGTGGTTTGCTCTTACTGGTACTGCAGTCTTCGCACGCTTGGACATGTTTGACCACGTCTGCGTACAACCCAATCCAGTAGTAGTCGGCTCTGACCCTGTGGTATGTCCGCACAATCCCGTGGTGGCCTCCCTCGATGGAGTTGTGGCAGTTCTGCAGGACCTCGTCTATCATGGTCGTCGGAACCACCAGTCGAAGGGATAAGCCTAGTTCGCCGAGTTCGCCAGGTGGTCTGGCCTTGCCTTGTCGGTACAATAGCCCGTCTTCGCTGAGCACAAACTCGTCGGCAACTTTCCCAGCGTTGTGAGCTCGGCGATGTGTGAGCTGCGCATAATCCCCTCTCTGGTAGGTCTTCAAGTCGGCCCATCGTTGTTCCTCGTCTTGAGCTCTTGCTATTCGCAGGCGGCGCTCAGCTTGGACCACTACCGGATCGATGTCCATGGCGTTGGGCTCCCGGGCTTCTCCGAGCTCGGCTACCAGCTCAGCTGGGTTAGCTGGTGGTGCTGCGCTACCGAACTCGGCTTCTCCCGTCACCCGCTGTCTAGCAGGCGGAGGTCGGCTATCTCGTTCAAAGTCATTACGTTCCGCTTCCTCATCCATAGCTGGGTCCGGGACTGGGTGTTCTGCCGCTTCGTCTTCGAAACGGACTCGGCGGACTTGACTCCTTGTCACGGCAGCCATCTCAACACCCTCGGCCGGGGCTGCAGCCGAGTCCGTGTCCACGTACAGGACCTCAGAGATCCTGTTTAGGGTCTTCAACTCGGCTTTCCGTCCGGCGCTTAGCACGACCTTTCCTTTCCTGCTTTGGTTTCCAGTGCTTCGGTCGCTAAAGAGTCAGCAGCCGAGTTGTAGAGACGCACTACGTGGAGGTAGCGAACTGAATTCAGCTTGCTGACCAATTTCTTGTGGCGTGCTAACTCGGCTTGCAATGCATCCTTCTTACACGCGATCACCCCCTTGGATTGCTGGATCGCAAGCCGAGAGTCGCCCACGATGATCAAATCCGTCACCCCGCGCTCAATGGCCGAGGTCACCCCATTGTTCATGCCGGTGTACTCGGCTATATTCACCGTGGTCGATGGGAGGTGCGCGCTCGCAGCGATCTCAATGTTCCAGTGTGGCAGACGCCACAGGATCTAAGAACAACTCCCGAACCCGCCGTGTTTAGCAGTCTTCGCCGATCCGTCAAACGACAGGACGTGTCCCTTGAAGTCTCGGGGCACATGCGGATACAGCAATTCTGGGTCCATGCGGACCACAGCCGAGTTCTTGGACGGTGGAGTGACATGCGTTAGTAGCTCGTCCAATCCCACTGCCGGCGTGATGGACGCTTGGAGCAACTGGGCGAAATCCGTGTCCCGTTCGCGGACCCGCTTGACCTTTAGGTGGAACGGTGATAGCAGTACCGCAAAGCTGACTGCTCTGCCGTAGAGAGACTTCGACTGGAACACCCATTCGAGAGTCGAGTAGCGGGTGTAAACATGGATGGTCTTCCCGGCGAGCAACGTGGGGCACACCTTGATGAGCTGTAGCAAGGCGAGAACTTCTTTCTCGGCGGGATGGTAGCCGAGTTCATTATCCTTGAGGACTCGGCCGCAGAACCGCGCTGGATGGAGCTTCCCGTCGTGGAGCTGCATCAGCGTGCTACTCAGAGCTCACTCATTGGCGAATTGCATAACGTGGACGTCCTCAGCCGAGTTGAAGTGGCGGAGTATGGGTGCGTCGACTACCTGCTGTTTTAACTCGGCGAACGCCGCTTTTGCGGCCGTCAGATCACCGCCGGGTCCGAAATCTTAGTCCTTCAGCTGATAGAGGACCGCCCCATATACATCCAGGTTTGGATGAACCGGCCGTAGTAGTTCAGCACTCCTAAGAATGCTTGTATCGCCTTCTTCGTCGTCGGGAACGGTAGCCCGGCTATCGCCAGCATCTTTTTCTGGTCGGTTTGGATTCCAACCGAGGTCACCCCATGTGACAGGAAGTCGACTTTAGGTTGGACGAAGATGCTTTTCGGGAAGCTGGCGCTGATGCGGCATTTAGTGAAGCGTTGCAGCAATCGGTCAAGCGTCCCCAAGCAATCGTCGAACGTCCTCCCACCGAAGCAGATATCGTCCACAAACGATCGCCGGTCGAAAACCGGTGCAAGGCACGATTCATCAGGTTCACCCGTCCGGAACATGTCGGCTTCTGGGCTGTTAATGAATTCTTCCAATGGGTCAAACTCAGCTTGAGCTCGGCGGTCGGCCTCAAACTTGGTCTGGCCACTGGCTTCAAAGTCGATGTCGGCTGCGAGCCGTTTCCACTGAGCTTCTGAGGCGGCTTCCGCTTGTTCGATGCGCTTGGCGAACACCTTCCAGCCGCCCTTGGGTTGTACGTAACCCCACAGAGCGTTGTCAATAAGGCGCTGGTAGATCATTGGGGCATTCTTTAATCCGAAGGGCATCCGCAGCCACTCGAAGTGGCCAAGCGCGCAAACAAAAGCCGAGATCCAACGCGCCCGTCGAGTCATCATGACCGCCCAGAAACCGCTAGCAGCATCCAAAGAGCAGAACCATAGGTACGCTTCCAACTCCGTGAGGAGATCGTCCACTAGCGGCATGGCATACTCCATGAGCAACGTAATCGCGTTTACCAGCTTGTAGTCGATATACAACCGAATGTCGAGCCCATTCTTCTTTAGGACAATCACGATGGGTGATGTCCATGAGTTGTTCGAGAAGACAATTAGCCGAGCCCGTAACAGCGCCTTGAGCAGCTCGTACAACTTGCCGAGATGCTTCAGCGGAACTCGGCGGGCTCGTTGGCGGATTGGCGGATGCCCCTGTACGTCGATGTCACACACTACGCCGTAGGTAGGGCATTACCACTGGAGATCATGATCTTTTCATGGCTCTTCAATACTTCCACCAGCCGAGTAGACTGTGGCCGAGTGTGCGCCGAGCTCCGAACGTTTGGCGCTTCATAGTCGAGTGGCGTCGACACCGCTTCAGTCAGATCGGGCAGGAACGCCAACTCGCGAGCATAGTCTTCGAGCTCCAAGTTCGTTGCTTGGTGCTCGAACTCGGCTGAGTCTCCCGCCGAGTCGCCTCGGTCATCTGTCTCTTCCTCGTACTTGGCTGCCAGAAGGTAACGTAAGCGCAGGTCTTCCTCCGGGTCTGACGACATGGGCTCGTCGCTCACATCGACCTCATCTTCGAGCCTTGGACTCGGCGGCTTGGGCCCGGGGTCGTCGATGATCGTCCAGTCAGACAAATCGCTGGATTGCTCACTTTCACACTCATCTGCTGCACAGGCGTTTTGGCTGGGCGCTTCTTGACCAGCCGTCACTGTGATCTCTGCTCGACTAGGCGGGCCATTGACCAAGTCAGCAGTAGGCTCCGCGCTCAATGCTAATTCCTCAGGCGCTAGGGTAGCGGTAACCGAGTTCGCTGGCTCTGTCAGAGTCGAGGGTGGACTATCGACTGCTTCTGCCTCGGCTCGCTCCTCCGACTCGGCTAACTTCT